TAAAATGTAATAATATTAAAATATCACTTACCTCAACATTGCAAGGAGCCACCTTCTGATTTTCACAGAAAATGTTCGATGTACCCACCATTTGCTTGGACACAAGCTTCAGCGCGACGTATCCAATTCGCTCTCATGCGATTGCTAAATAAGTGCGCCATTTTCAAAAGAAAACTTGAAAATGCCGCGATAAAATACATGTATTTCAGCAGTTCCAAAACGGTTTTAAACATATTCTTAATTTGCTTTTTTCTCTATAAGTTTAAACTTCTGATACAAGTTTGTGACATTAGTTAACTCAGGTTTTACTCTTTTTTCACTCCAAAGGTATTTCCATTGAATTAGCAGTAACGAACACAAATCATTTATTATAATATCCCAATATTATAACCAAATAAATAATGATAAAAGAGAAATTTTTTGGTTACGCTGTATATTACTTTCCATCTCCATTGCTTCCAACGGCAAATTAACACTTCACTCGAAACGTTTCGAGAGGCTTAATTAAATTTTATTCGGTGCTCACATAAACGCCACGATTACGATCATTCCATTTCCTCCTTACCATTGGCGGATCCGCAGTACAGATTGCCGCTAATATAGATGATTAAATCCGCAATCCACCCTGGACCTGTCTGTCTCACAGCAACCCTCGTATATTCCCAGAGGGGGACCCGATGCATTTACTTTTTGGTAAAGGCCCTGTCTGCGGGAAGAAAATTTATGAAAGCGGCTATCGCAAACATGAACCTCTGTGTTTGCGATGATATATTTCTGTGTCTTGGTTGGAAATCGGAAAAGGTTTTTAAGATAATGTTTTAGAGGAGTGTACTATTCAAAAACGTTGGCGTAGTTCATCAAATTAAATAAAAACGTATTCGGTAATAACACAGCCACACAAAAAAGTTGTCTGTACATACTTTTCATGCGACATATGTTATCCGTAGTATTTTTGCCTCCTGATCACGAATCCAGTGTCAGAATTGAGTTATCACATCACAGGAATTTCCTAACCTCAAAAAAAAAGGTTAAAAATAGCAAAAATTCACGAAAAAGTGCTAGGAAAAATACTATATTCAAATGTTTATTTATATGGCTGTCAGAATGGATAGTTTTTTTCTAACCTCAAGACCTCAATTAAGTCAGATATCAGGAATTTTCAAAAAATAACAGATTCGCGCCAAAGAGTGACCGCAAAAAGCCTGTGATTTTCGGCCGTTTTTTCACAATTCGCAGAGAATTAAAAAATATATATAAAAATATGTTTTTGGTCGCAAATTACTAGTCGTAAAAAACTGAAATGAGCATAGCTTTTAGTATTTTGAAAATTTTTAAAATCACCCCTACTTATTGGTTGAAAAAATGTCAAAAATTGAAGAATTTGAATATTACCAATTAATATAAAAACTATTGGCATGTGAATTATCTTAATATATGGAATTTTTACAATAATTATTTCTGATATTCTCTATTTTTGGGGATGATTCCACCCCCTGAGCGCGCTTATGGGTGAATTTTCTAATTCAACACGCTTATTTCAGTCATGAGAATAAATGTTTCGTTGTATCACGAATCATTCGATAGAAAAATTCACATGCTAATAGTTTTTATATTTATTGGTAATATTCAATTCTTCATTTTGGGCGTCTTTTCAACCCCTAAATAGGGGTGATTTTTAAAAATTTTCAAAAAACTAAAAGTTATGCTCATCTTAATTTTTTACGACGAAAAATTTGAGACCAAAAGCATATTTTTATCTATTTCGTTTAGTTCTCTGCGATTTTTGCGGTCACTCTTTGGTATACAGGGGTTTTCTGGGTTGCTGATCACGGATCCGAAGTCAATTTTGCAAAATTCGAGATGGCGTATCCAAGATGGCTGACCAAATATTCAAAAAATAACATTCGCGCCAAATTTAGTATAGGGGGTTTTCGGGGCCGCTGATCACGGATCCAGGGTGAGAATTGCGAAATTCATTTTGTAATATTTTTGTTTACTTTATAACCTGAGTACGCAATCGTGTTAAATAAACATTTTACGTTCAAACAGGTTGATTTTTTTAAACTGTAAATATTTCAATAAAAATAGCAAAAACTCACTTTTTTGGCGAAAGGCTTTATTGAGTACCTAATTCTTCTATAAATCTGAAATTTCATTTAGATGGCGATTTATAAACTCAGAACTGTCTCCTTCCTTCTCAAGTTTTTAAGATTGGTCGTCGATGCTTCTTAATAAGTTAAATGATACGTCATTAAGTCACACTCAATGGAATTGAAGCAATACAATACCAATACCGTACAGAGTACAGACAGGTTGAATAAATTCATCTTCTTTCAAATGCGCGTGGCAACGTTACCAGACTAGCACCGGAGCTCATTTTCTGTCTGAACATCGGAAGGTTAAGAAAAAAAACCTAATGGTTACGCTTCCATATTTATTTAAACTTTATTAACTTCCCTTAGTAAAATATGTTCTAAACGCATTTCTGTGTACCCTGTTCAAAACATTTTTTTTAATTAAACAAGACTCGGTATCTATTTTATCCCATGTCCAATGCCGGTCCTGACACCCTCATAGCATTTCAAATAGGGGAGTATCGGCCCTATGTATGGCATCGCACACACTGACAGTAAGGCGATGACCAGGGTTCCCTGCACCCGCTGGGGAAGTTCACTGACGACGTCGAGACGCGGTGGCGTCGCTTTTGCAGCGGATTAAACTCGTTTCGGTGCTCCCAACCACCACCGCGGCTGCAGTTGTCGGTCTATTCGATTATAGTGTGCAGACGAGAAACGTACTTCCGCGACACGGTGGCAATTGAGAGTTGCGTTTGGATCTTGAGGCATATCCGGAGTGTTACAGTATTCGCTTGTCAGTGGTGTTCCTTCAGAGCTGGAAACAATGGAGGCCTCTGGTAAATTTTAAATACTTGTAATGTTTATAATAATTTAGATTTATTGGTATCGTGTAAATAATATACAGCGTGATCGGTTAAAGCTACGGAGCGGTCATATGTCCAACACCATTCGTGCTGTTTTTTTAAAGTAAAAAATCTATTGACAAATATGGTCAAAAAAAGTTGTTGTGATATATTTTCAAGTTCCTTAATTTCATCGCTAGGGGACACATTTGACATGGTATTACAAAAATCATGAGTAATCCCAAATATCTTGCATATGCATACCTTCAATGTAACTCAGAAATCTACGTATAATATCTCTACAAATTTAGTCTCAGCAATATTTTTCTATTGATCATGACAACTGTATCACGCATTTTACTTGTTAGTAGACGTTTCGAAAATCAGTCCGTTTTCGTTTTCAAAACTGCGTTTGACATTTCGTTTTCAAATAAGTTTAAACGTTTCAAATTTTTATTTGTTTATTTGCTACTGATGTAATATTTATCCTATCACTTATTTATCACGAGATAAAGCATGAAAATACCTTTCCAACGAGATATAACACGATGGAGTTTTGATGAGCCAATCCTTAAAAAATGCATTTTTCTGATCAGACATTACGGGCTTCCCCCACCCTTTCTGTCGAGAGATAGAACAAAATCTCGATAACAAAAGTTATGCGTAATGAATCCGTCTATCCATTTTTTTACTATTTAATATACCGGAATAGGAAACATTTCTGAGAAAAATTCAACTGTATGTTTTGGTATGTAGATTGCGCCCGTCGAGCTACGAACTTGAAAACTATTTCCAGTGGTTTCTCTTGGTTGATTTATTAATCAAACTTTTTTCCAAAAGTTACTATACTTTCCCTAATATCGTACCTCGCCGACCTTTTTAGTGGGACACCCTGTATATAAAATTTACTTAACTTACAATGTTTTTATTAAATACCAAAACACCAAACGAGCATGATTTTTGAACCAGCTAGTAGGTAATTGTGGAATAACTATAGATAAGAAAATTAATGGTTTACTTTTTTGTTATCAAACATTTCCAGTGCTGCTCAAAAGCGGAAAATTTCCTTTGTTCTTAAAGTATCTTTGGATGAGTGTAAGGGCTCTTAAAACAGCATTAGATTATTGTTTGTTTAGCAGCAGTCAGACAGGTTGTAAAAATAGAACCGTATTCCCTAAATTCCAGCAGTGCATTAACTTTGGCTTGTTGGATTTTTTGTAATGGGGAGTGACGAATGACAAATATAGAATTTACTACACTGCGTATGTTACAGTTAGCTGACAGGGAAAGAACTGGCTAAAGTAGTAATATAAATCGTTACACGACTAGAACGGTTTATGGAATAAACTACTTTTATTGGGTAGATATTGTTGAACTTATTCCTGTCGTTAATGATATTTCGACATGTTAGTTAAATGAGACGTTCACATTAAAATAAATAGCTATGTATATTACCTATTGGTAATACTTATAGACAGTGGCGGCTCTTGACTTTCATTCTAGGGAGTGCGGAAAAATTTAGATACCTACAAAGTATTGAAAAAAATATATATAATTGGGCAGTTTAATTTTAAATATTGAAATATAGGGAAACTGTGTTCAACATTTTTTTTTATAGTGAGAGTATATTCTTCTGCTTTTGTCCGAAATAAACTTCAATTACTTTTCCATTAAAGTTTGGTTTTTCTCGCACCATTGATTTTTCAATACATAGTACTGTTAGTCTGTCTTTACAATCAATTTAAACTTTTACAATGTTTAAAAAAACCGTCAGAGGGGTCGAAATTGGGAAAAAATGTACATACGGTCAATCCCGGAATCTGCGCCATAAATTGGACGTTAACCGGGATATCCTGGTGGATAACATGTGGTATTTGAGAAAACTTACAAATGCGGAAATACCTCACAGATTCGAGTTTGCTTCAACAGCAGTTAATGACTAAACAGTTTGAAATTGATAGAAATGTTCCTTCAGATAATTTTTACGTTACCTTCGCTGCACGTCGTTATGGCCCAATATTTCTCTCTGATTTATGTTGGAATAGAAATAATAGTAATTAATTGATAATTTCAATTGCAGGTACGAATAATGGAACAGAAGCTCGCATGGTCAGTGCAGAGTGACGCGAATAGCGCACAGATCCACAGGCTAGAGGGTGAAGTTGAGGAGCAGCGTCAGCTGCGGCTGCACGACGCCAAACAGGTGGAAGCCAAAGCGGCCCGCATCAAGGAATGGGTCACGAATAAACTCAAGGAACTAGAGATACAGAATCAGACGCTCAAGGAGCAGAACATTAAGTGCAATCAGCAGCTAGAGTTGCTCAAAAACCATCTCGCCTTGGCGGACAGGAGGAGGTCGGAGAGCAGTTCGCCTGAGTCTAGACAAGTGAGTTTTGTTTTCATGGTTTGGTCCTAGCGCAAATTATTCAGAGTATAAAATCTCCATGATCTCGACATCAGATTCTAAAAATTTTTGTTAAAATTTGGCACTTGAGGTGAATAAACAACAAAGCTTCTTAAAATTATGCTGTCGCCTTTATTTGTGACGCAAACAAACAAGAATCAAATGTTCAAAAGATGAAATTTATTATTCCAGTTGGGCGCATCATCCACTGGCACAAGCAGTCAACGGCACCGCAGGCACCAATCCGTCTGCTTATCTACGAATTCTAACTTTGAACCAGTCATACCGAGTACCCTAGTAACCAGCGTCAACTTTGGCACGAGTAATTCCAGTATGGATCCATTAACAGACGAACTGCGTGCCGCTGTGGACAACCTTAGCATAGGAAGAATTCCCAGCAGCAGCGCAAGTGATCCAGATTTGGCACATGACTATGCCGAAATCTATACACCGAGTAGGGAGAAAGTTGCTTGGCCCAGGGCTCCTACACCACCGATACATCGATTTCCGAGCTGGGAGGATAGAATTTATCAGGTTTGTATATAGTCGTGGACAAGAAAAAGGTGTACAACCCATAACTTTTCTTTTTATGAAACAGTGTAAGGTGGAAACTTTTTTATTGTCCACCACTATTCTATATAGTAGGTATTAAAGTCAATATAAAACATTGATTTTGAGATCTAAATATAGAGATAGATAGAGGTCATATCTTTAGTTCAGCTTATAGGTGTGGTAAACTACTCATTTCTTATTGACGAACAAAATAGCCTAAGTACGCAACTAAAAAATTGTTTATTCCAAATAATAAGTAATAATATGCATATGATACAGGTAGCCGCAGATGGTTTAACACTAACAGGTACTACCCCGAGTGATATTGGTCCAGAACAAGCTGGATATCAGGACATACCAGTTCCTGTTTATGCCACAGTTAAAGGTCGAGCTAGTCAAATTAGGTCAATACCTTTTACTGGTGATTCATCTGATGATTCCAGTGATGGTGAAGGAAATAATACAACTGTAAGTTTTAAAATAATTTTGTTTTTAAAAACCCCAAATGACAGAACTACTTTATATCTGATAACAATGTTGCCCTTACTATTTTTTCATTGAATTGTTTTTGGATTGACTTTTACTTAAATGTTTCGTTAACAAAAAATGAAATTTACTAAACAAATTTGTTTAATTGTAAACATGCAGGCCGTAGATGGGACAAATACTCACAGTAGAAGTTCAGGAGAAACTTCTGGATCTAGTCCAGGAAAAAGAACAGCATCAAGTAGTAGCGGTTCTCCTAGTAAAAGTAAAACACGAGGTAATTCGGCAGTTCATAATTTTTGTTATTATTTTTTTATATTTGATTATTCTAAAACTTTTATTTTGTTCTTTGAATTAATATTGACAAAAAGGTGTTTCAGACACCTCTTTCGAATCGGGGATGTCGGATGATTACGCAGTGCCTCCAGATGCTCTTAGTTGTGATACCACCAGCCTCGAATCTTCTATGTTACTTAGAGCTTCATACTTAGATAGTCCAAAGAGAATTGAAAGCTTGGAAAAAAGCGGTTCACTTGCAAAATTAGGTACTTATTTACATTCCTTACACTCACGCTGTTTCTAATAAAAATTATTCAAGGTGGTAAATTAAAAACATGGAGAAAGAAATGGTTTGTTTTAAAGAATGGAGTCCTCACCTATTACAAGAGCCAAAATGATATTAATAGGAAGCCTCAAGGTCAAATTTTATTGGACGAAATATGTAAAATAACACGAGCTGAAGGGTCCAATACTTTCGAAATCGATACAGGGAAGAAAACTTACTATTTAACGGCTGATTCGATTACAGCTATGGAAGATTGGGTTAAAATCTTACAAAATGTGCAAAGGAGAAATGCAACTAAACTACTTTTGAGCAGAGAAGAAAATAAGCCCTCAATACAGGGCTGGATAAAAAAGAATAAGTGCGGCCACGATAAAACTTGTTGGTGTGTTCTAATAGGGAAAATGTTTTTATACTTCAAAGCTCCAACGGATACAGTAAGTTCTTGTTTTTAAAGGAAGGCATAGAAACTTGCTTTCTTTTTTTTTTTAGACACCACTTGGTCAAATTAACATGAGAGACGCTAGAGTGGAAGAAATAGAACATTTGTCTGATTCTGATTCTGAAGAACGGGATCCAGAGCAGCCGGATTTCACTATTGGTATTTTTCCAACCAATCAAGCGCCTACTTACCTGGCTATACCAGGAAAACAGGTAAGGCTAGTTTGTCACTAGATACGAGCAGAAAGTTATCAATAAAGTAAATTGAATTAAAAAACTGAGCAATGGAAATGAAAATAACTCTGCAAAGATCAAAGCTATATATTAACAAAGCTTTTGACACAAGTGCCTAATATGTATGAGTACATTAAAAAAATTGAATCAAATTTTTGTAGGAAAAAGACGCTTGGTTGTATCATTTGACGGTAGCAAGTGGTGGGGGTCCGAGTACCGGAACCCAATACGAACAACTGATTTATAAATTAATGGAAGTTGATGGGGACCCTAATTGCGTCTTATGGAGACATCCAGTGCTTTTACATGTGCCTTGTACCAAAGACGGTGCTGTACCATCATACTTTCCTCTAACTAGTCTGCCTACTGAAACTTTCCAAGTAAGTAACCAACTTTATTTCATACAAGTTGCGCCTTCTCGAGCACAAGAAAATTTCATCTTTCACTATCCCCATATTTATAGACTAAAATTGAAATATTATTTTCACAGGCCGAAGCGATAAAGCTGTTTAAGTGTCTCCAGCTTTTCATGTCAGCCGCAGTGGATCAAGCCGGCATAGACTACCATGTGGTACTGGCTCAGAACGCCCTGCAACAGTGCTTGGACATGCCAGAACTGCAAGCTGAACTAATTTGTGCTCTCATCAAACAGACCAGCAAGAGTGCCCCTTTGCCAAAACTGGGAGTCCAGGTATCCACACAAAAATTGCTTAAAAAAGGCGTAAGTGTGCTTCTTATATTTAGTTTTTATACTAAGTTTAGATAACTACAGATCTTTTTAAAACACTAAGGCGCTGGTTACATTGGATTTGAATTCATCCGAAAATTTGTTTATATAAAATCATATGATGTCATAAGCAAACTATTTAATTATACAAACGGAGCAGTTACATTGGATATGAATTCGTAGTATAATCTCGTTCCTGGGCGCAAATGCGGCCGGCTTAATAATAATAATAATATGCCGCCTCCTCTTCCGCACAAGTCTCTGACTTCTGGGCTAATTCTTGTCGTTAGAATGAGGGGTAGAGATATTATTATTATTATTATTATTATTACAGTAGAACTCGCTTATAACGAGCAGGGGATATAATGAGCACTTGGTTATAACGAGCAAATTGAAATGTCCCTTCCGAATTCCCTATGTAATACGTGTATTTTTGTTCGGCTATAACGAACTCGTATATAACGAGGGCTTGGCTATTACGAGCTTTGATTTTGGTCCCGCGCAACAGTGATCTCGGCTATAACGAGTTATCGTAGAACCAGTTTTTACGCACATGACATCAAATGAACGCAAAAACTTGCGTAAACATATCCAATTTTGACGTCTTTGACTTAGTTCAGTACGACATGGTAGACGAAAATCTCGAAGTGGCTGAATTCCCAAATGAAATTCAAATCACACAGCGATTAACCCATCAATAGATGAAGAGTGATGAAGAAGAGACGGGAAGCGATGAGGTTACAGTTCCTTCGACACATGAAGCCATCTCTGCGTTAAAAACCATAGTATCATACGTCAAATTCAAATATCCAGAAAACGAGCAGTTCTTAAATGCCACTGATCGGTTGCAAAGAAATATCAGTCAGGAGATATTAAGCAAAAGAGTGGTGCAAAAAAATATTACAGAATTTTTTCGTTAATAATAAATGCTATGTAATGTAACTTAACCTATAGTTATACGTATCTATGTTATGTAGATAAATAATATTATATGTTTGAAAATAAAAATACAAGTGCAATGCAGCTATAATTATGTGTCCAATAATTGTCAGCATAGTTGGCGATGGCGACGTCTATAACGAGCACTCGCGTATAACGAGCAAATTTTGCATTCCCGTGAATGCTCGTTATAACCGAGTTTTACTGTATATCAATTTTTTTAAACAGTTTTTAGTGGACTGCACTTATGGCTACCGTTCGAGGTTTCTACTTATTTGTATGCTTTAAAAATTTGTACGAATTAATCTGACATCTTGCATGAATCAGTATGATTTTGTATGAACCAATTTACATCCATTGTAACCGTCACATAAAACTTGTTATGTACAAGCGGGTTCTTTGCCGCTTTGAGATACTTTGTTTTAATTGAAATCGGCGTGTCTATAAACCTGTCATGCTGCCATATGTTTCCAACGTGTGTATTTTTTTCTAAACATTGTTTATTTTAGCAATCCTGCATGGTGGCTTAATAAAGCTTTTTATTTCCGGTGCTTCAAAAAAAACGTGGCCGCAGGTTAACGAGCATGCGTTATATACTAATATTACTTAACATTATAATTAACATTTTTGATGAAATATTAAATCAAGTTTTCTTATGTATATATAGGGTGTCCCTCTAAGGTCGGTGAGGTACGATATTATTGAAAGTATAGGTTTTAGAACTTCGGGAAAAAAATGGATAGCGTAACTTTCGTTTTTGACATTTTGTTCTATATCTCGACCGAAAGGGTGGAGGAAGCTCCTAATTATGATCAGAAAAATGCATTTTTTAAAAATTGGCTCATCAAAAGCCCATAGTGTTATACCTCGTTGTAAAAGTCTTTTCATGCTTTATCTCGTAGTGAATGTGTAATGTCATTTACCTTAATATGGAAACCTATACATACCATGATTTCAAAAACATGCCGTTTTGTGAATTTTCTCAAAAATTTTAAATGCAATGCATGCAGCACATTCTTTTATAAACACGTTTTGTTTTGGTAATTAAATGTCTTTTCGTAAGTGTCACGTTTCTCAATTCATTATCATTATTTATTTTCTGCTCACTAACAACTTGATAGCAAAAAAAGATATTGAACCCCTTTTAGCGTCAAAATGTAGCTATTTTTATGCTCTTCAAACTAACCTATAAAAAGTTTTATCTTGCTATTTCAGTTTTTTAAGAAAACGTGAAACAACCTAAACTTTGATAAATAGCGCCAATAAATAAACAACACTTATCGTTAGAAATTTCAAACTTATACCATATTCATTAATTTTTTGTACTGAATTCATTTATGTAAAGAAAACTACAGCATTGCATTTAGAATTTTTGAGAAAAATCCCTAAAACGGTATTCTTTTGAAATAACGTCATCTATAGGTTTACATATTGAGGTAAGACCTTTGCAACGAGGTATAACACTATGGGCTTTTGATGAGCCAATCTTAAAAAAATGCTTTTTTATGACCAGACATTAGGGGCTTCCCCCACCCTTTCTGTCGAGAGATAGAACAAAATGTCAATTACAAAAGTTACGCGCAATGAATCCGGTTATCCATATTTGTACTATTTAAAATACCTGAATAGGAAACATTTCTGAGAAAAATTCAAGTCAAGTGGACGAACTACTAACTTGAAAACTATTTCCAGTGATTTCTCTTGGTAAATTTATTAATCAAAATGTTTTTCCCAAAGTTCTGAGACCTATACTTTCTTTTATATCGTACCCTGCCGACCTTAGTGGGATACTCTGTATATATCAATTTATTTATCACATATATTATGGTAATATGATTTCTTAAAATAAGTTTTAAAAAGATCTGATTTATGTTTAGTTTTTTTAATACTTGCCATTTGCTTGACTCACACTCATATTTTTATTTTCTGTTAATCCCACTACTATCACTACCAACAAAACCCCATTATTTCATACAATAGGATTATTATAGATGGAAAAAAGTGTCTAATATAATTTTTTTGCTTTATCAAAATGGGGTACAATTCGTATATTTTTGCACATTCATTGTTTCTAAAAGCTTATATTTCTGAAATACCTTTAAAAAATTTAAAGTAAAAATATGAAATACTAGTCGAAATCATATAATATATATCTAATATCTAACACCAATTTAAATACAATCAATGTCAATAATACTAAACGTCACATGTGTTTGTTCAATTATGTCTTAACATATCTTTGATTTGTAATCGCCTCAGAATAATATTATTTGTACATAGTTCTCTTTTTTGCATGGAACAGGGGAAAATAACACCCTAGATGTTAATGTTAGTTGTAGCTACCCTTTTTGCAACTGAAGAAGAATGTTGGTGTTTCAATTATTTTTGTTTACTTTTATTATGGATGTTTATTAGAAGATTAGTATAGAGAAATATAGACTATGCCTGTGTATGTTCTATCTCTGTTTCTTCTATTTATTTCTGAATACTTGTACACATCACATAAGCAAATAGTACCTATATATAGAATGGCACTATTACTTACAAAGCAGCAGATTATTTAGATTGTATTATCTCTGTATCATAATAATAGATATTTATAATTTATAAAGTAATAGGAAAATAATGATTCAAAAAATGGATGTTTACAGTTTACACATATTTGCAACTAGAAACATTCATTTTCTGTTTTGTCCTGTTAGTAATCGTTATTTTACCAAAAAGAAAAAGAGTAGAACGTGATATACTAAACTTTTTTTGCAAACTTGTATCAGAAATGGGTGTTGGAAGTTTATTTTTTTTCGCAACTAATGGAAATCTAGTTAGCTGCAGTATAGCTTACTACAAAATGTTACAGCATAAAATATTAGCTGCAAAAGTTAACAATCGCCTGTCATCAAGATGTTATTTTGTTTTTAAAAATCAAAACAAAAATGAGGGAGTTTATCCTGCGGCATTTTGAGATACTCGGTATAACTGGACATTAAGTGCATAGTATGGAAATATTTATTGTTTTTCAGTTAGTTATTTTAATAAGTTTGCCAAAGAAAAAATATTTACACTTACACATTTTTCCAATACTGCAGTGTAGTTGTATCACTGAAAAGATGGCAGAACTAGACAAGAAGTTCAGGAAAACTGTTTACTTGTAATTTTGTTGTACCCCTTTCTCCCCAAATAATATTTGTTGGAATGTTGATGTCAGAGGAATAAATAGTTTTAGTGTATTCAGACCTTGAAACAGCCATTTCAAACATATACTTAATACAATACTATATCATACAAATTATACACTCATTATACATATCCCTTACTACCAAGCTTTGAATAAATCATCCATCATCGGACACTACCCTTCATATAGTTCACAGAGATTTGTGTTAGCCATTTGCATTATACCAAATCTCCAGACTACAAGAAACACCAATAATCTTTTCAGCAACTACTTCTTTGCGCCACGCAAAGTCTGTTTACTTGTGAGACAACGACACCAAGTATAAATAGCACGACCTCTGATCAACAAATCGCCTTGTCCAATATACAGGCCACTCAGGAGGAAAAATACAAGGAGCACAAGGAGTGCTATAAAGAACATAAAGATCCGAAGGGTCCCCCTTCTTATACTCTGCTTCAGGGATGGCAGCTGTTGGCGCTGGCGGTGAGTTTGTTTGTTCCCAAATCGTCGAGATTGTTGTGGTTTTTGAAGCTTCACCTTCAGAGGAATGCCGAGAATAGAACAGAGTGTGGAAAATATGCGGCATATTGCGAACGAGCCCTAGAAAGGACCATTTTAGCAGGTTTGTAACTGTGCTTATCTCTGACAATGTGTAGTTAATAGCAAATCTTATGTAGAGTTGGTATATGCTGCCTTCAGACAGTCTCTAATGCTTCTAGATTTTACTTAATTCTCTCATTGGGAAATAAAATGTTCTAAACTTCATCATCAACATTATTTATTTCAATTTTTTTGTTCCTGGTCCACTTTTCGTTGTTTTTAAAAATGTCTATTCTAAATTATTTTTGAAAACAGTCTTTCCTCTCATTGTTTTCAACTGCTCTAAATTCTCTGTCGTCTGTATTTCAGGTGGTCGTGAATTGAAACCTTCCCGTATGGAAGTTTTAAGCATTCTCCTGAAAAACCCACAGCACCATTCACTACCACATTCGATGCCTGTCCATCTGTTAAATGGCACCTATCACATTACAAGTTTTGATGGCTCCACAACAATAAAAGAATTTCAAGATTCTTTAGCTCATGAAATAGGCTGTCGAACAAATAACGGCTTTGCAATATTCAGCGATGATCCGATAGAAAAAGATTTAGAGCATACGTTAGATCCTAATGCGAAATTATGTGACTTAATATCAAAATGGGAGATTGCATTGCGAGAGAAAGGTCTAGGGAAGTTTGAAAATAGTAAAGTGATTAGATTAACTTACAAAAATAGACTTTGGTGGAAGAACTGCGTGCGGTTAGAGACAGAAAAGGAACGACTTTTGCTGTGTTATCAGGTTAACAAGCAAATCGTCAGTGGTCGCTTTCCTTTGACCAGAGAATTTGCCCTAGTGTTAGCTTCGTTAATGGCCCAGTTAGACATGGGAGATTGTTCCTTGATCGCTAACAAACCGAACGTCAATACCACTTTAAGTCCGAAGTCTACAGCAAATGGATCTCTTAGTCCCCCATCATCTCTCCAAAACTCGAGTACACTGAATGCTCTGAATAATGTTCACGGCATATTGACTGCACATTCAAATCAAGCTCTCAATGCTGTAGATAAATTTTATCCATATAGATACAGGGACCAACTGAACCAAGAAGGCCTAGCAGAACTGCAAGCAAAGTTGATGGCCAAATGGAGGTCTCTCAAAGGGAGGACGCAATCAGATTGTGTTAGGATATATTTGAATTGCACGAGAAAGTGGCCTTTCTTTGGAGCAACTCTGTTTCAGGTAAATTAGATAAATAGTAAATAGTGGTAATAGCAATATATACAGTGTGTATCAGACAAATGGAATAAATTCAATAATAAATAAATTTATTATAAACTTTTTATACAGGGTGTGTCATATCACAGTGATCAATACCAACTTTCTTATTTTAAATGCAACACCCTGTATATTATTCAATTTTTGGATTCTTCAGAAAATTCTAGACATATTTCATGGAAAATGTCCTATACCTATCTTCAACTGTTTCGGAAATATTAAGTGTTTTCAGATTCATTGAAAAAATTAACATTTTAAATTTTAAAACCTAAAATTTCAGTTCGTGTCATCAAAATAGGAAAAAAAAAGTTGTATGAATGCCAGAAATGCTTCGTTGCAATTTGTAAACGATTATATAATATTTTCTAAAATCTCTAAAGACAAGGATTTAGGAGGTGTTCCTATCCATACAGTTTCTGAAAAAAACACGCTTATTGCGGTCTGTTCTTGTCTTATTTTTTTTTCCAAATTTTATAAACACTTACTCAAAATCCAAATGTTTCGGGGTACGTATTCACAAAAGTTTTTTAATTGTTTTGACGACATGAATTCAAATTTTAAATTAAGTAATTTTGCAACAAACACACTTTACAAATAATAACATTGATTTCTTGTGGCATTTTGATACAAATTTATAAACTAAGATGAATTAAGGGATACATATCCATTCACAGGCGAGAATAAGGCAACAGGACTCCCCGATGATCTGGCTGGCAGTAAACGAAGACTCCATAACGGTCCTAGACTTGGCAACAATGCAGCAACGAGTGCGCTACCCTTACACGAATGTCCTAACGTTCGGAGGCTGCCAGGAAGATTTTATGTTGGTCGTTACTCAAAACGATCAGCAGCCATCCCAAAAACTGATATTCTCACTTAGCAAACCCAAAATATTAGAACTCACTCTGCTTATAGCAGACTACATGAATCTGCTAATTAACAATCCCGGCACGCCACTTTTAGGTACACTTAGTAGAGGAACTATGGTCTCTGTCAACCAGTCTGTAGTGAACCAGTCCATTATTAGTCAAACTATTGCCAACCAAAGTCAGCCCGACATCCTGAAGTCGACTCCGGATCATGGCGTGCAACGTTCTGATTCTAAACGAAGGACTCATGTTGATTCCGGCCTAGCGTGATACAGGTCCGACTGTGTTACTTGTAAGCGACTGTAGATCTGTTGACCTTTCAGTTTCATTGTGATTAAAAGCTTTTTGTTGTGCCAGAAAGTGTGGAATTGTATATAGACTGGGATAGATATGTTAATATGTGTGTGTATATAGATCCAGTATCGATTTTTTTATCTACGGTTGCTGTTTTTTTTTTTCTGTTGTGGATGATAAGAAAAGTATGAGGGATTGTAATGATATATTCAGGTACCTTATTTGAATGGATTTTAAGACAATGATAGGTGAAATGACTAATGACTTCTATATTAAATTTTAAGTTTAAAAATTCCTTCATTTGCAATCTAATGTATGTACATTATATACAGTGCGATTCACAACATATCCAAAAAAATTTGGGAATAGATGCGGTATGAGAAATGGAGTCAATATCGTAAAAAATTTTTTTGTAAAACTAGCCTCTAACGTAATTCATAATACGTGTGGAGAGTCACATGGCCTCAGCGACTCCGAATATTGAAATCCGATTTTACAATTGTCATTGCCATAGTGTTTACAATAGTTTTTTAGTAGTTAGTGTCAAAAATGGCATGCGAGTATAGCAACTCGGAACTGATGGATATTGTTTTAATTTATGGTGAAGCAAGAAAACATTTGTATTATGGCGAAGCATTTGTGTTATGATGAAACAAGACAGCATTTGTGTTAGTTTGTAGAAACTGAGTAAGATGGACCCAAATGTGTTTATACGTCGGTTGACAAAATTTTGAACAGTTCTAACATCAGGTATGTCAAATTTTATTATTTCAAACCACAAATTAATTTGATTAATTAATAATACCAATAACGACAAAATCAGTTTGTTGATATATATAATAGGTGCTATAAAATTCTATTTATTTCTTTCCTTGCAAAATTCTTTCATGTTTTTGTCCGTTTTTATTACACTTTGCCGCCATGCCGGTTGCATTGTGCAAAAGGTCAGGTTTTACAGTGGACCAGTTTTCAGTGCCGTGAAGAAGTGTATTTTTAAATCATTTTCGAACTGCCCTTTTTTATTTTTTCTTTACAAAATCGTATTTGTAAGAGTCCCCTGTACATCCAAATATTTTTTTTTGGATAAGTTCTGAATCACCCTGTATATTATCAATTCAAAGCGTGACTAAGCAAAACTAGGAATTCTTTACAACTGGAACAGTTTTCAACTAAATTTTATTTCATAATTTAATAATTTAAATCTAAAAATAAGAATTTTTAGATTTAAATATTTCAGAGACCCGTTCGACATAGAAAAGTTCGAAATTAAAGATAAATTAATTTGAATTGATCCAAATAGTTCTAGTAATCTAAGTCAATCAAATTTTTGGCAAATGCATTGAAAAGAATTTCATGACTCGAAATTACGATTTTTACCATAAAAGTATTTTTGTTAAACCCATTTGCTCAGATGCCCAAAATAATAAATACTTGTTGTTGCATTAGGTACTCCAAGAAGAAAAACTGCTAGTTGATTCTTACGAATAATGTGATTTCTGTCCATTATTTATTGATTGGAAAATGAGTATTTTAACCAGACTTGTAACTTTTTATAGACCATTATTTGATCAGTCCAGTTAATGAGTTTCACATTCAAAAGGCAATAACAAATTTATTTTATTACAAAAAATTAATTTTATAATTTGATAAAAAGTTTTTAGCAAAATTTTTTAAATTTTAGTCGCCCTCATACATTTCTTATTTAGGATATTTTAAAAGAATTTTAGTAGCTTACAAGATTAACTATTGTATTAAGCTTATCCAAATTATGTAATTTATTGCAAAGAGTATGGGTAGGATTCACTACAAAGTGGCATAGCTTTATTAAGAATTATTTTCTAGAATTATTTGCTTGTGCAGGTAATATTTGGATATTTAATACTATTATATCCACTGTTCAAGTACCTCAAAAAAGAATTGCATGTATTTACAATCCCTTAAATTTTTTTTCATACAATTTAATGTCTTTAAATATAAAATTTGTGCAATTGAAAAAATATATTTATTGATTTTTGGTCTTTGATGTGTGCTTTTAAAAATATGACAATGAAATTGCGACTTTGGAAGTTTTGGGTTTTATAAAATATAATCAGAACCGCGCAAAGGAATAAGAAAATAAAAGAAACTGTTTACCATTGCGTTAAAATTTTTTTAAATTTGATTTTCTGTCCTACTATTTTTTGCAGTATCTTGAACACACGTTAAGGAAATTACAGGTACTTTACGTTGGACCTCTGTTTTTTTTTTTTACTAAAAGTATGTCGCTCTCTTTCTTAAGAAAATGACAATTATATAATAAACAAATAATTAGCAATTCTTCTGAAGTTATTGCCTATTTGTAAATGGTCGAGACGAAAATGTTTCTTACAGCCTTTGTATTGATCGGTATAATATTCATTATTGTTTTGCTTGTTGCAGTTAAAAGTTGTGCCATATGAAGCTATGCTGGAAAAAAGTCATACTTTGAAAAATTCCCTATCTATTCAACCTCTAACAGCAAATTCTTCAATAATTAATAAAAATGAAAAACCTGCAGGATTTTCATATAAAATGTGACTTTTTTCCCTAGAATACATTCATTTTTAATGTAATGTAAGTTGCTAGTCCTGTACCATAAAAATGTATGCATGCTCGACAATAGTTACCATTTTGAGATTTTTAAAAAGAACTTGTTTAAAAAACTGTATTGAATATGTATCATCTAATGGCAATATTTTCTGTATTTTTTTGCTAATTCACTAAGTGATAATTTTTGGTATATACATTTGATATATTAATATAGTATAATTAATTTATTATTTACAAATAAATATTTATAACAAATTATGGTTGGTTTCATTAATATTTGATTAAAGCAGTTGGTTGACTTCAATAATATATGTATTTATTTAGTCTGTAAGGGCCCTACAGACGAACGTTTATGTGCGCGTTTATACACATTCAAAAACGTACATACAAAAACATTTTTGAGTGCACAGTCCTAAGGAACGACGCTCATGATTTCTGTCAACGACAGAAATTTTGTATATGTACGGATGAATTCGCTTGCAAGTTTCAATGTGGATGCAAATTATGCGTCGTATATCAGTAACGTTCAGGGAAAGTTGTGCTTTACTAATTTCTTGTTTTGTGAAATGTCTGATTGTAGAACATTGTCCCGTGAATTCCCCCGGGAATTTATTGAAATGTACAGGGTGTCTCAAACTCGATAGTATGGGCCTACTGTGAGGATATAAAAAATTTTAAAATTTCGGACACGTGTCAAATGGAATGAGGTAAGCTCCATTTTCAAATGAAAGTATTATCTTTGGGAATTGACAGAAACGACTAATGACGTCATCAGTTATATTTTTTCCAGAAATATACCAACATTTTTTTCTCATTAAAAAGCTCTCTTTTATCTAATAAACTTTTATTAGAGAATTTTGTCTGTATTCCCGTTTAAAGTTATAAACAATATCGTCCCAAAGAGTCAAAAGAAATACCACCTAAAAATCACATCAGCGGTGGAAGGATCAAGTAGTCGTTGGAAAATAATTGAATGTTCGTTGTTTAGAGTACATAAAAATTTCATTAAGAATAAATAAAAGGATTAAACTCGGTAATTCTCTAATACAATTAAAACAAAAGATTATGATAACAATAACTAAACTTAAAAAATGAAGCAAACGCTTTCATACTACATACATATTACAATCTATTCTCTATATGACCTCGTCTCGTTTCAAGACACATATCCAATCTTCGCCTGACTTCTTTGTGGGCTGCGTTTATTAACATTTCGCCGTTTAACTCATTAGCGTTTGTGATTTTTTCTTTCAAATGATTAATATCTCGCGAAGGTGTTTTGTAAACCTTATTTTTTAAAACTCTCCATAAAAAAATCGAGGGGTGTTAGATCTGGTGACTTTTCGGGCCACTGAATAGGTCTGTTAAGCCCAAACCATTTTTCTGGGGAAGTGTTATCTAAATATTGTTGCACGTTAAACTAAAATGGCGAAACAAGGGCTAATAATTTACCCAGATGAAAATAAAAATTTTAAGAATATAAAAACTGCTAGTTGTGAGACAATTGAATGGAAAGTAAAACGGTATCTTTCACCTCACATCTGCCTGGTCGTTGTGCCATTAAAGTGTGTGATTGTCATCATTTATGGAATGTGGCTCTACGTACAGGTTGAAATCAATATTTTTCGGAACCAATACTCTTTATGCTTAAATCAGCCGTTTTTTTTTTTTTTTATAGAGAAATACTCTTGCAGGACGTTACTTTTACAAATTAAGAATTTTCATATTCCAAATAATTATTCTTATTGTAAATGAAATAACAAATAAATCGGATATTTTAATTTCATCTTAATATTAATACGTGTAACAATGCATTTTGTTTGAAATAAGTAAATAGTACAATGGTGCAGTTTGTTTGTTGTAATGAATTATCTTTGAAGTCTAGTGAAATTAAGAAAAACCTGAAACAAATATTATTAATGGACAATGGGCAATTTAGACCAGGAAATATAGGTGTATGCATGCATAATTCTTCGGTCAGGCTGATTTTTTGTGAGCAGATAGTAAAAATAGTGTAGAATAATATGTACAGTATTTGCACCCTGAAAAAGGCGGGCGACATTATTGAAAACATGCCATTTTAGTAGAAATTCACGTTATTTTGACTGTAACTTTTTTTCTGACAGTTCTACAGAGAATAATGTTGCAATAAATTACTCACTTAATACTTAATGCACATTGGAACATGATACATTCATTTTTTGTGGCTGTTGGTTGCATAAATCAATTCTTCTTGTCGCGTAGTATCGAATTAAAAAATAAAAAATATAATTTTATCTTTTATAGGTCCCAAGAAAAATAAGACTAAAGTTACGCTATCGATTTTTAACACGCGAGACAACTTTTTCGAGAGTGAAAAATTCAGATTCCCCCACCACACCACCGTGTGGCACTTAATGGAAAATCGAATGCTCAACTTTGTAAGCCCATAACTCCGCTGTTTATTAACGAATCGTGACAAATCTTTTTTCAAATTGAAGTTTTTTTATGCTCTTTTAGTACATGTAATAAAATACTAAAAAAAATATAAGTTAAGGGCGTATTTAATTTTGCAACTAAGGAAATTTTTAAATTAATTTCCCCTCGCTATAAAAATGTATATTTTTGAGAGAAAACAATGGAACTCGATAGCTTTTTCTTAAATCTACCAATAAAAAAATTAGCGCGACTTCGGGTACCATTCAGATTTGTACAGATCGTTAATTAGTTAATTAATAATCCACTTACGAATTTCGGCTTTCGAATAAATTATTTGTCTGCAGTGAGGACTGATTGAGTGTTATCCCAAGAAACCTCTGTGGTAACATCACGATTTATTATTAGCCCAGTCGGGTTGTCATTTAACCAGGAAAAAATTAGGGACCACATTTTATTGTTCTAACCTTTAGGGGGGGTCAATAGTAGTGTAAATTCAGAATCGCGACTGAATTCCACCCCTGCATCAGCCGCCATCTTGAATTTAAGGAAAAATCGTTTTTGCTCAATATCTGGGCCATTTTCAACTTTACAATAAAAATGGTAAGGACTTAAGTTGTTGCAAATGCGATTTCCTACAACTACTTTCATTACAAATTTTATCGTGCGATCGATATTTTTCAAGTTAAGGGGGAAGATAGTGACAAAGTATAATTATTGAATTATCTTGTTTGTTATTGACTCTACGATATAAATATACATGAACAAAGTTGGAAAGAATTATATTTTCTACAATTTTGTTCCCTTTGATTTTTTCGCTACTACCAAAATTTAAGGTCCTACGCCTATGGCAAGCCTAACTAAACTCAAGGGATCAACATTCCATAGGCCTGACGTCTCTGCAAGCGTAGAACCTTAAATGTTGGTAGTAGCGAAAAGATCAAAGAGATCAAAATTGTAGAAAATATAATTCTTTCCAACTTTGTTTATGTATATTTATGTCGTAGAGTCAATAACAAACGAGATAATTCAATAATTATACTTTGTCACTATTTTCCCCCTTAACTTGAAAAATATCGATCGCACGATAAAATTTGTAAAGAAAGAAGTTGTAGAAAATCGCATTTGCAACAACTTAAGTCCTTACCATTTTTGTTGTAAAGTTGAAAATGGCAGAGATATATTGAGCAAAAACAATTCCTTTGAAACCAACTCCTGCAAGGTCCTACGCTCGCGTCTTTACCGCAAGCGTAGGACCTTAAATATTGGTAATAGCGAAAAAATCAAAGAGATCAAAATTGTAGAAAATATAATTCTTTCCAACTTTGTTTATGTACATTTATGTCGTATAGACAATAACAAATGAGATAATTCAATAATTATACTTTGTCACTATTTTCCCCCTTAACATGAAAAATATCGATCGCACGATAAAATTTGTAACGGAATAAGTTGTAGAAAATTGTATTTGCAATAACTTAAGTTCTTACCATTTTTGTTGTAAAGTTGAAAATGGCCGAGATATTGAGCAAAAACGATTTTTCCTTAAATTCAAGATGTCGGCTTACGCAGGGGTGGAATTCAGTCGTGATTCTGAATTTATACTACTATTGACCCCCCCCCTAAAGGTTAGAACAATAAAATTGTGGTCCCTAATTTTTTCCCGGTTAAGCCCTTTTTTTGTCTAACCCGACTGGAGTATATTGTTTATTTAAAAATGGCATAATTGGCGGTTTTTCGCAAGTAACTTTTGACCGGATAAATATTTTTTGACACTCGAGACGACGTTTTGTAGATCTTTTAACGTTTTGTAGATCTTTTAAAGACAAATAAAAAAGTATCTTACCATTTTTCTGTAGAACCGTCAGAAAAAAGTTACAGTCGAAAAACGTGAATTTCTATTAAAACGGCATGTTATTCATACACATATTATTCTACACTATTTTTACTATCTGCTCACAAAAAATCAGCCTGACCTGAATTATGCATGAAATGGTCATTTTCAGGCTAGATTTCCTGGTCTAAATTAGAATATCTATGTTAGAACCTTTTCTGCCTCAAATCCAACAAAACACAAATTGAGTAATAAGAAAACAAATATTACAGAATTATACCTGCTCAAGACTGCTCTGTCCAAGAGAATAATCCTCTATATTATAGTTGCCTTTCTTGGCCCTCTCCAAAATACCGAACATCTCAGACCAGGGCCTGGACACATCTTTGACGTGATAATACATTAACTCCTCGTGTTTCTCTTTCAGCTTTGCCTTGGGGAATTGCAATTTAATGAACTGCTCTACCAGTTGTGTATTAATGGCCAGACCATCTGTTGGTTTCTTTAGTTTAATGATGAGATTGTAGCCCTTTGCGAATTTGTTCTTGAGGTGTTGTGATGAGCCCAGACACTTGAACTGTCCGTTCACCATAATGGCAATTCTGGTGCAGAGGGCTTCACATTCCTCCATACTGTGGGAAGTGAGGACCAAGCATTTACCGCTGTCACGAATTTTACACAATGCATTCCATAAGTAGCGTTTTGTTGCAGGATCCATTCCTGGGAAACGAAACGAGTTGCTTACTGCCAGAATTTCGTATCTTTGCAATTAGTTGGTATAAATAACTTGAATTATTATTACATAGATTATTAAGACTTTAATGCTTCGCGGATCATTTTACTTCAAAGGTGACAGATTTATTGTCATTCGAAACTAATGACATAAAATGTTTTTCATATATTCAAGATTTACTTACGAACAAAAAGTATGTATAACATACACAGTGTTATTGACAGCTGTCTCATCATACATGCAAACTTATTGTGGCTTTCCCCTGTAAATTTTATATGACAAACTTAACTGCAAAATATTAGGGTTGTTTCTTACATAGGTACCGAATTTAATATTTGATTTTATAGTACTGTTTTAAACTTTTTTCTATCAAACAATGAACCTAAATGCACTGGATTTTCAAGATGCATGATGTTTTTAAAAAATACCACATTTTGTTTAAATATTTGCTTTAGATCTACTTTTGTTTTAAAGAATAGTTTATTATTTACTTAATTAAAATTAAGTCAGTATTGCATATTTTGCATGAAGTCATTTGTATTCTAATGATGACATATTTCCGGTAATCTAACACATTTTTCTATAAATGTATTAAAAACATATTTTAAGCTAAACATGCATTTTTCAAGATTTTGTTGATTTGCATCAGAAATTACTGATGGCGACGTTATTAATCGATCAAGCGTCAGATGTAAAGCTATATATTACGAGCGATAGTGATTCGAAACACCACGAATCACCGTTTTTCCTTAACATCACTTACCTGTTGTGGGTTCATCGAAATAAATCACGGGTGGATCTCCGATAGTAGCAATGGCTGAACTCAATTTCCTCTTGTTCCCACCACTCAGGGTCCTCACTGGCTTCTTGAAGTGACGTAGAAAATCGAACTCTGTCGCTAATACCGTCGCTAATCTTTTAGCGTCTCCAAAACTCATGCCTCTCAGCAGCGCAAACATTATAATTGTCTCTTTAGCAGTCATATCATCAAGAAGGGCATCAAATTGAGGACAGTACCCAATACATTTTTGGACCTTTCTGAATTGATGTTTTATGCTGAATCCTTTAATAAAACCGTCACCATAAGTGATCCTTATGTCTCCGGTCATCATCATAAATGTGGTGGTTTTGCCAGCGCCGTTAATTCCTAGCAAGCCAAAACAATCGTGGTCTCGCACACCTAAGCACAAACAGTTTACAGCCAAGAACTTGCCATAGTATTTGGTTAGGTCCCGTAGTATCAGAGCATAGTTGAGAAGCTCATCGCGACTAGCATTCCTTATTTTATTATTTTCTTCTGCTACGTCGGCATCCTCTTCAATTTCTTCATTTTGTTTTTGATGTTGACGATATCTTGTTATATAGTAAAATAACCTTATGAACAGCTTGTATTCGATGAATAAATGGACCAAATATAAAATCAGGCCCACAATAAATAAGAAAGATAGATTTTTACCAATTCCTGGCGAATCCCACATATAGTAGCTCTTATGGACGTCTAAAATAGAAACAAAGCAATTAAATTTCTATTTTATTCTATTTACTGTAGTTTTTATATTTTTTATTAGCACTTATAATATTGTAGTAGTACCAATATGTATTACCAATATTCCCTGAAACACTTATTTTTATTGAAACTGGAAAAATTTAAAATAAGCTTTTCGTTAAAAAAAAACGAAAAGTATGTAATGTAGTTAGTTTTTGGGGTTTTAAATTGCAAACAGGGTGGGCCAATTTCAATATTTCTGGGATTTTCTTTTATTCCCCCAAGACAGGAAAATAAGAAATTTAGATGTCAGGGACGAGAAAAGTTGAAGATTATACTAGTTTACCAGTGCCTATGATGTATTTAATTGTAAACTTATGAAAAATCCGTTTTTAAAGATTATATGTAAACTGCATCTGTATCGGAGTAACTCATACTGTTGGTAGGATGCAATCAACTAAAATTAATTAGAATTGCAATAAGAGATAACTGTTATCGTAAGTTGTTTACGGTTTTTTAATTGTTTTTCAATATATTCCGACTGACTTTTATTAACTAGTCTGAGGGAACTTATTTCATTACAAGTGATGGTGTATTAAACTTTATTAATATATCTAAAAACAGTTCCTTTTCGTCGACCACAAATAAATATGAGGTGCACTCCGATTCAAACTGGTTTAAAATGCATTATCTGTGGCACTGATTCACATAAAAGTAGACATTTATTGACAATACTACAAAAGATTATATTTTTAATTAATCTGACTTGTGACCAAGTATCTATACAGTTTCACCAGCTTACCTTTGCATTCCCCTTTTTTCATACCTTCATGGCAAAACTGGACCTCACACTTTTTGCATAGCTCCTTCTGAATTTGAAATTCATACACGTCTATTAGTCCCATTGCAAGGCAAAAGTGTGGAAAAATTAAAAACACCTCATGAAGATCATCTCCTATATCAGTTGTGGAGGGTATCCCTTTTAGGTTATTGGTAAGTAGAAATGCTACTACTCCTAACAAATTAAAATATGATCAGCAACTGCATTAAAAAATGGTATGCTAGTATGTCCAATAATTCTTTTTAAGCATGTATATTTAAAATGATTTTCCTCTCATAGATGTGAATAAAGTAGAGGTTTTCTCAAAGGACCCTGCACAAAATACAGGGTGTCCGGTAAGTACCTCCTAATCTCTCGGGAGTGTATAGTGGAGGTCAAAATAAAACTAGTCCTTCCTATAATTTTTTTTCCTAATGTGCCCCCTAACGGAGTTATGGGGGGTCAAAGGGGTACCTAGAAATTAACGTTTAGGGTTATAACTTTGAAACCACCCTGTATATTTTAATAAAATTTTCGTACGTTGTATTACACATGGAGCTCTACGATTTGATGCTAAAATCAACTTTTTGCTATTATCAGGTGTCCAGAAACGGACTGGCCCTATCACAATTTTTCTCAAAATTTTGACAGAAGTAATTTTATCAAACTGAAAATATTATTATTAGATACTCTGAAGGTTTTTCTTTAAAAATGGTACTCTTTATTTATTTCGAAAAAATGAACGGTTTGCGAGATAAATCGGTTTTGAAAAAAATTGGTAACAAATACAACAACAATTAAAATTTATTTTTTTACAATAAAATCATTCCCGCTAGTGCCAGCCTACAGATTCACCATAAACATTTACTGGTGGTGAATTAAGGGAATGAATAATGCCGTTTCTTGTAAAATCAACATCTATGACCAAAATACATCTACAAATTATTATTGCTCTTGTCTCCATGGAGTTCTTTTCTATTGTTTTCGTTGTTAGACCCTGTTGATTTTAAAGTACTTGTCAAAGGCGCGTGACAGAATAAAAATTCAATTTTATTGTGGTATTCGTTTTAAGCCGTTAGAAATAACATTTAAAAATGGAAGAATATTCCTGTGCAGAATATGCTGATATGCACCTAATTTATGGGGAAGCATTATGCAACTCCGTGGAGGCAAGAAGACTTTATGAGGAAAGGTTTCCGGGTCGACATTTGCCGAGTCCAAAAACTTTTGAAAGAGTTGATCGTAGTTTAAGAGAAACAGGTAAAAAAAAATAGTGAAAAACGTTAGTGAAACTAATTTCTTCCGAATCCTTTATTTAGGAAGCTTTTTGCCACGCCGTGGTGGAGCAGGAGCCCCGAGGAGAGTACGAGACCCTCATGTAGAGGAACAAATATTGGAAGACGTTGCTAATAATCCTTCAAATAGCATAAGGAAGCTTGCGGCGCAAAACAATGTTACAAAATGGGCTGTACATGAAACTCTGAAAGAACAATTGCTTTACCCGTACCACATCCAAAAAGTACATGCTATGTCTCCAGATGATTATCCAAAAAGACTTCAATACGCCAATTGGTTTTTACAGCATCATATTCGGAATCATAATTTTGGTACATCTATTTTGTTCACCGATGAAGCAGGTTTTACAAGAGACGGCATAATTAATTCGCATAATCTACATGTCTGGGATGAAGAAAACCCTCACGCTTTAGTTCAAACTCGCTACCAACAAAGGTTTATGGTGAATGTGTGGGCTGGCATTATCGGGAATCATTTGATTGGTCCATTTATTCTGGAGCAAAGACTTAATGGTGCTCTTTATTTGCAATTTTTAGAGGAAAATCTAAATATTTTGTTAGAAGAAGTGCCCCTTCAAATAAGAACTGAAATGTGGTACATGCATGACGGTGCACCACCCCACTTTGATCGTTTAGTACGTCAACATCTGACGAATGTTTTTGGTGATCGATGGATAGGTCGAGGCGGACCTGTATTATGGCCACCTAGGTCGCCCGACCTAAACCCATTAGACTTTTTTCTGTGGGGTCATTTAAAAAATAACGTTTATTCAACACCCGTAAATAGTAGAGAGGAACTTCTGCTGAGGCTAACACAGAACTGTGACCATCTCCGCAATAATCACGGAATATTATTTCAAGTGCACCGGGAAAACATTCGTAGGATTAGAAAGTGCATTGAAGTACGGGGTGCTCATTTTGAACATCTACCGAAGTAACATTTAGGTACCTTTGTTCATTGTTGAATGTTCTTTGTTGCATGTCTTGTAAGTAAGTTATTTTTCAAATGTTATTTTTAATTGGTCACTACTTGCTCATAAAGTATAGCCAACCCGTTCAAAGATTTCTGGACTTGATAAAGTTAAAGAAATTAAATGCATGAAATAATATGTAAAAAAAATAAATTTTAATTGTTGTATTTGTTACCAATTTTTTTCAAAACCGATTTATCTCGCAAACCGTTCATTTTTTCGAAATAAATAAAGAGTACCATTTTTAAAGAAAAACCTTCAGAGTATCTAATAATAATATTTTCAGTTTGATAAAATTACTTCTGTCAAAATTTTGAGAAAAATTGTGATAGGGCCAGTCCGTTTCTGGACACCTGATAATAGCAAAAAGTTGATTTTAGCATCAAATCGTAGAGCTCCATGTGTAATACAACGTACGAAAATTTTATTAAAATATACAGGGTGGTTTCAAAGTTATAACCCTAAACGTTAATTTCTAGGTACCCCTTTGACCCCCCATAACTCCGTTAGGGGGCACATTAGGAAAAAAAATCATAGGAAGGACTAGTTTTATTTTGACCTCCCCTATACACTCCCGAGAGATTAGGAGGTACTTACCGGACACCCTGTATAATATGGAAAATGGTCTTTCGGTAACTCTTGCTGAAATTTTGCAGAGAGGTAGGTTTCAGCTTGCTGAACAAAAGTCTCAATGACACCAAGATCAAAAAACCTCACCGAACTGTGCGGCTTGAAATATACGAAGAAAGGTATTTCGTTGAATCTTGCTAAACAGGTCAACATTTGATCCACTATGAAACACCCAAAGCGGTCTGGTCTTTATAGGGTTTTTGGGGTCACTGATTACGATGAGTAAGGTCAGTTAACCCTTTGAGTCATACATGATTCTACAGCATATTTTTGTCTGAATTTTTTTTACTCGGGGGTTTTCAAGGTCGCTGATCGGGAATATGAAGTTAGATTTTCATAGTTTCCAAATCCAAGATGGCGGATCCAACATGGCCGGCGGTCACCTCCGATGACCTTGGAAACATATTTGTGACTCCAGATTTTTTCGACAATCAGTTCTCTACTTGACCTTCAAAATGACCTTGGCATGACCGTCAATGACCCTGGGAGTCGCTACGGGGTCAAACGAACTACGGTTTCGTGATTAGGGACCTCGAAAACATACGTACGAATTTTTTCAGATTATTTTGACGGTTATTTCTCTACTTGACCTTCAAATGACCTTGAAATTACCTCAAAATGACCTTGAAACTGATGTGATGGAGCTTAACTGACCTACTCATCGTAATCAGTGACCAAAACCCCTATAAGGACCAAACCGCTTTGGGCGTTTCATTGTGGATCAAATGTTGACCTGTGTTTATTGTTCAGCAAGCTGAAACCTACCTCTCTGCAAAATTTCAGCAAGATTTACCGAAAGACCATTTTCCGTATATTTTGTGCGAGGTCATTTATGATTTTGTTAATTGAAACACTAAATTATATATTTATCTATTTACTTGGAAACAATTGCCACAAGGCAGGTAAAATTAGGAAAATAAATTGAAAGCGAATTTTGCCAGAAAAAACATTCCACGTTTTTATTTGATTTAAAATTTATGCGAGCTTAAATTTGAATTGTGAACATTTATTAGTTTTTGTTTTCGATATGTATGTCAAAATCAAGTGACATGTCAAAGCTGCAGAAATAATGCTAAACACATCTTATTTAATTTCAATGGCATTTCAAAATTTTTCTCATAGTTATAGAACATAGAAATAATTAATAGAAATTTGTAATATAAATTCCTACCTGTTAAAATATTAAATATTACCATTTTAGTAAAACCTGCCGCAGCGGTGTGGAAAAAATTTGCTGCTATGTACGCTAAAGGTAAGAATGCCCAGCCAAACATACAGAAAAGGAGGAATACACGACCTGAAGCAGAAATTTAAGTTTCTAGTGCACAACCACAGCCTCCTACAACTGCTACTAGTTGTAGGAGGCCGTATTAATTTTATTCTAAAAGTAATTTCTAGTACCAACTTACCTAATTGTGGACCAGATTTAAATCCGTCCTCTTGAAAACAGGCGTAAACAGTTATAACTAGTAAACTAATCAATATGAAGGTTAGCATATCCCATAATACTGATGTTAACCAAAAGACTAGTACATTTACCCCAGAGACTAGCTGTAGGTGTTTGGACTTAGATATTCTTTCTTTTATTATAAAAAGTACATAAAATGAAGTCACGAACGCCATACCGATTGCTAGTTGAAGAGCTGAAGAGAAACCCAAGTTTTCACCAGACATAAGCATATAAAACTGAAAATATTAAATTTTTTATAAGTTAATGAAATTTCATAAAAGAAATTTACATATACAGGGTATTCTCTAAATCTATGTTATAACGTCTCGAGATAATTGCTTTTGATTCATTGTGGGGGAATATATTGGCCAAACAGTGTATGCCTACACCTTGTTCTGATATAATAAGTTTTGTAATTCGTCTTTAAATTATTGAAAATCTTTGGTAAATCCTACTATATTCTGTGTAAAACTTGATACATGCTATAAATCCTTAGTAAATAGTCCTACATGAATGTTTTCTTTCCTTTGTTTTTTGACAAGGTAACACTGCTGATCGCATATCTGATAGATCAAAACTGTTCAACAAACATTAGACCATTAAAACATTTTAAATACTACTATAGAAAATATAGTACTAACGTACTATATTTTCTATGAATACTACACAGCATATATTTAGTTTTTCTTCCAAATACAAGTACAAGCCAGACAGGAACCAGTGGCGACTCGTCAGGTGACGCAAGTTACGCACCGCTTCACCTAAAATTTCCGTTTGGTTGTACAATTTAAAATTATTTTTAATTTTATATAAATTTTATAATTTAGGTATAATTCTATATTGAAAATGTATTGTGTTTGTTTGTTTAATACGCAGAAATAAACAGAACAGTTGCGCGGTGAGTGCCTTCTAAAAAAACATCGCCTTCGTTGAGCGCGAACATCAACCTCGTACCATAACAACGTATCGTATACGCAAGCGATGCAGATCGAAACAGTCTCAATCCCGCTTCTCTTCGAAGCGTTGTTTACGGCGGTTGTCATAGCAACGAGGCGGCCAACACGGGAGTAAACTACGGCGTGGGGGAACGAGTGACGCGGATATTGAAGCAGCATTATCATCGCCCATCGTCTGCCTTTAAACAGTTTATACGATACGTGTGGCCCAGTGCACGATTATAACGCTCCTGAGTTAATATTTGTTTTGTATAATAATTGTAGAAATCTTTCTTATGTATGATCTAGTATGTATTTTATTGGAAACGCCATATCCATGTGGAAAATTGAGGACAAAAGGATTTTTTAAATTGCGAGAGACCTTTGCCTTATTCTCTCGATATGGAAAGAAGGGGAAGTCAAAAGACAAGGAAGTTTCGGAATGAATGGTATTCATTGTATAAGTGGTTGTGTGGAAGTGTTTTTTTAAAAAAACTTTTCTGTATGCCGGTTTTAATTGTGCGTGTAAAGTCGGGCGTGTGGAATAAGGAGGGATTTAACAATTTTGGGAACGTCACGCGAGGCTGTCGTAACCATAATGCTTCTTTGCTTTGCACTATACATGTACGGTGTGCGATAATGTTCGCAGAAGTCCACGAGCCAAACTAATATTTCTATTTTTAATCAAATCTAAATGAAAATCCTTCTTGTGAACGTCAGTTTTTCGGTAATATTGCAAATGCAACTAAACATTTCCAGATTCATTTAAAGCCGTTTGACCTTGAAAATTTGAAATGTTTCGCATGCGGCGCTTTTTTTTTCTTTTTAATCAATCAATGGATATGCTTCACCTATTCTCAATGTCGCGAGCCGCCATTGGGCAGGAATCATTTGAACTTGCTATGATATTGACCTTGACCACAAGGTCAAAGATTAGATCACACTCAGATGTAAAATTTAGGTATCAAATGGAGGGACACGTGGTAGATAAGTGAATAAACAAAATAAAGTTCTATTTAACTACATACTTACTTTTACGTATATATCGTACGGCATAGGATGATTTACAAATTCTATGGAACAATCATCACATTTCAGCGCTAATTTGAAGATTGTGTTTAAAACAAGGGCCAAGGAGATGCCTGGAGTATGATAGGCATCATTGTTGAACCAAGCAGTTATATGGTCCTTATTATTTTCTTTGTCAAAGGTAACGCCCACAACATATTTTGATCGGGCTTTAACAGGGGATCTATTAGTCTGAAAAAATTTTCATGTCTATTAATTATATGTATATTTTCTGAAGGCGATAAGTTCTTTATATCGACTCTTTCGATACAGGGTATAACTTTGAATAGAAATCATATTTATACGGAGGCTACCTTTAGAAATCAATAGCTTATTTTTTCATATTCCGTCGTGAAAACTTATTTTTTTTTACATTTTTTTCGTAATTTTCATACCTCGCCGCTGGACAAGCTAGAGCGACCTCAAATAACTTCGCGTGTTAGTCTCAGCGCATGCAAAATTGGGAACTGGACATTGTTGTCAAATCTTATAATATGAAGGAAATATTATTAAGCAAATTTTATACACCTTGCTCCTTCGCGCCTTAATTTTTTTGAATGGGTGTTCGCCAGGAGCCCTATAATCCCACATACGTAAGAATTTGGTCCTTTTAAATAAGATAACTATGAAGTACCTAACAAGTAAACTAACAGAAAACCCAAGCAATAAAAATAAGTGAAATACACAAAAATAAGTAAATAATCTGACATACAACATTTGAAATTTTGTGGTTAGTTTTCGAGTACTGGTATAAGGTCTTGTTCCATGGTGTTTAAAATTTCTAGTTCCAAATGTCTCATTCCTTGAACTTGTTCCTGTTCAACATTAGTGTTTTGGTGTTCAAAGCTCCCATAACTTCATAAATGTTGCACCACCAATCTTAGGTACAAACATTTTCTTATGTGGTGCTTGACAGTCGGGGTAATCCATCTGATAACATTTTCTTGCAACAGCATCGTTTTTTTTTTCGGAGAAGACGTAAGCTCTAACTCTTTCTTGATTCGTTTACATGATTTTTTAGACCTGTTTTTAATGATTTTCCAACCCCATCGCTGGACAAGCTAGTGAGATCTCAAACAACGGCGCGTGTTAGTCGCAGCGCATGCACAATTGAAAACTGGGCTGTGCATTGCTGTCAAGTCTTATAATTTAAAGAAAAAACTATTAAAAAGCAATTTTCCACACCACCCGCTGTGAGGTACTGCTCTTTGGGATAATCCAGTCTTCTTACTGCAGAATCGTTTTTTTCGGGCAAAAAGTAGACTCTAATCATATAAACTCTTGATTCGCGCACTCGCTGGAAAGCACCTCAAGAAAAGGAAATAGTGGTACGCAAAAAACACTCCGACACGGTCAAATCCAGATAACAATATGTCAATATTCCCTAATTAATCGAACTTTTGTACATCAAGTTGATTTCAATAATTTTTTTCTCGGAAATGGTTGAGTTTAGGACCCATGTCATATAATGTTTTTTTGTTTATTTTAATGTATTCTATCGCCTGTTAAAATTAAGGCATTCAAACTTCGAACACCCTGGTATATTGTATTGCTACTCTAAATTCGAATTGATCTGTTACGTCGCCTTTATATGACGCATTTGGTATTATACCTTTAACATCTGGCCAAAAAACTTACCAGTTCTACGACTCTTTTCGATAAATTATTGGTTTTCTCATAACTGTAACCATTAGTCTTCAAATAATTCAAATATGGTTGTAGATAAGAAGAATTTGAAAGATCTTCCACCAGTACAACTGGTTTGTTGAATTTGCTTAAATCCAAGGGGACTGGTGTTGATAGGTTCGCGAATTTTTGCGCTCTAATGTACATTACGGCAACAATAACGAAAGTAATCGCAATGGCTATCTGAATTAGAAGTAAGGGCCATGATCGACATGTAGAAAGGGATCTCTTCATAAACATAGCCAGGAATTGGTTACCTAAGAGCTTGATGCCTCCGGTAAATTGTGGTCGTCCCCCACTGGTCACTGGAAATGAAAAAGTACACTCATAAAAATTGTATATAAAATTACACATTAAATTTATTAATTATTTTGAAGCCACATAGGTAAAAATAAGTAAGTAAAGTTATAAGTGTAAAGCAACAACAAACGAAAACAGAAAATTTTTAACAGTCTCTGCAAAGGAAAATAATGTGATTATACGAGGTTTGTTCAGAAAATAACCGAACTTTATTTTTTAGACTTTATTATTAATTTTATACATTATTGGTCATTGTCTCCTTCAAAGCACTCCCTCCCCTATTCCCATACTTTTTCCAATGGTGTTTCCTTTTCAGGAAATAGTTCTGGATAGTTTCATTTGAAATGGTCACATACTTTAAATGTGACGAATTTGCTTGATGTCATCAATAGTTTGAAAGCGTCGTCATTTCGGCACTGATTTTTATTTCGGAAATAAGAAAAAACCGCAAGGAGCCAGGTCTGGCGAATAAGGAGGGTGATGGAGGGCAGTAATCTGATATTCGGTACAAAACTGACGAATTGACAAAGCTGAGTATGCGGGCGAATTGTCATGGTGCAAGAACCATCAGTTGTCTCGCCACAACTATGGTCTCTTTTTGCGGATTTTTTCACGTAACCGTTGTAAAACGCCTTGATAGTACTCGTCCAGTCATTATAGCTTTTTTTTCGGAAAAAATGCAATTAGAAGTTTCTCGTAAATATCATCATCATCAATCAGGTAAATATGTGTTATAAAATTCGAAAAACAAATTTTTTGTAAATTTCAGGTTGAAAGAATGTTAATTTCGTTAATGCAATAGCTTCAATGCTCATGAATTTTCGCGCTACTCCAAATTAACAAAAGAATCATCTCGATTATTAACCGAGATAATTTTTCCAGCTCCATCGATAAGAAATAATACGCCATAATAGTCCAAATAAATGTTCCAAATTTTAACGCGATCGGTAAAAGGACTATGAAGTTATTAATTAAATTAGTTTTATTCTTGACAACTTTGAAGGCTTGTAACTCAGAAAACAAAAATTTTTTATTTACCTTTTTTTTCGTAGTTTGTATTTATTTATCGTCGTGAATATGCAGTCAAACGTTGTCGGTGAAATTTGCGGACACCCTGTATTAAAATAGCCTAGTATTAATATGTCATTATGTATAAATGGAAGAGACAACAATGATTCAAATAAGTTTTCAATAAGAGAGGACTTATTTGCATTAGATATAAAAAGACAAGGTTTGTCTAATTGTTGAATTTGCCCACATTTTTAAAAGAAATTAGGCCGTGCGTGGCATCACCAGATCTAAGAAAAGGACATTAAACTCTCATGACAGGATAATAAAAGCAGTAAATGTAATAAACAATAATGATAAATCATATCTTCTTACCTGTAATATTTTCATTCACATTCGGTTCCTTTTTAGGTGCATCCTCTGTAATGCCTTCTGCTCCAACCCTGAAGTTAATTTATTTAAATTTTCCTTATGCTGTTACCTTTTATTACAATTACAAAATTAATAATCTCGCAAAAACTTTAGTAAAATATTTATTTCATCTTGGTGTAATAGTCCACGGGCCCACGTACAAAAAGAAAAATGATTACCAGCAAGCTGTAACTTTGCGTGCTGCTTAAGTTTGACGAGTCTCCCAAGATTTGACTATGAGGAAAATTCAACAGTGTTAAATATTCCCGTGATTTTCAGGAAAACATGTCAATCTGGCATAGACATGGAATGTTATGACCAGCACTTTTTTTAAGATTAAATGAAAGATATATTTTTTTTAAACCCCCAAAAAATTTGTCCGACAAAAATTTTGGTATTTTAAGTTTGTCCCCCACCCCAAATATGTCGATTTGGTGACATTATGGTTGGTGACAACCAGCAAGCTGATTTTTCTGGGAGGGTTTGGTAATAAGATTTGAAATGAAAGTATCTTATTGTCCGACAAAATTCTTGAGAAGTTTTTGCAGTCCGACGCTCCGAAGATGTCGATTTAATGACAACATGGTTGGTGATATTTTTTTCTCTAATAATTGAAATGTATAACACAATAATAGGTATACTTGTCCGCCAAAAAGATTGGAAAATTTGCCTTAAAAATGGGAAAGATAACTATTTTTGTGGTACCTAATGTTCATTCCGCTATAAAATAATTAATTTTTTAATGAAAAAATAAAGAAGAATAAATAAGAAAATTATCTTGTCAACAGGAGCAACAGAAATTCATAATTATGTCTATAAAAATTAATTTAATTAATTTCCATCAAAATTATTTCTTTGTTCTAAAAACTTATATGTACATTTTATTTTATAAAGTATTGTAACTATTTTTTAAAAAATGGTAACTGTAAAATGAATGCATAAATATTTGCTTGTGTTTTTTTAAATTAAAATTTGCAATCTTGATTTGACAAACAGTTTACACATAGTTTTGTTCTTGAAAAACCAATTAAACCAATTTTAAAAATATTTTGAATCGTAATGGGAAAATAATAGAGGTAGTTCATATAATTTTTTTTTCTTAGACTCGCGTTTTCGAGATACAGTGTGTTGAAGTTGTTACTTTCCAAATAATTATCCTTAATTATCTTTAAATCGGCTAAAGATAAAAATGTCAAAAGTAGTGTCGCCGATGCAGGTAATTGGAGGGGTACAATCGAAAAAAAAAAAATGTTAAAAGTCAAAATTTGTTACATTTCTAAATGGTTCTGTAAACTCTAAAGCTGACTACAAAAAAAATATACTTGTCGAAATTCGGTAGCATGTACCAGTTTCGAGAAAAATGAAGTTGCATAGAAGCAAGTGGGGGACAATTTCAGCACCTACTGTAGTATTTCGAGTTTTGCTCTGTATTTAATTATGCAGCTGTTTTGTTCTGTATGTCTCCGAGTCTGTTTCCTAATACTTTTCTGTTCTTATCATTTTTTTAAGTATTCATGTCCATCAACAAATCAGTTCTTTCAACAATTGTTTATTTTAGTGTAGTGGTAGTGTTGTAGTTTACAAAATCTAAAATTAGTTATTAATATACAATTAATTACCATCATTTGTTTATTTTAATTTACTTTTATAAATGTTAGTTTACAACAAGCTGAAACTTAAATTAAATTTTAATTTTTTATTCACTAATAAAGTGTTTTACAATTTAACTGTTTCATGTGATGCGTAAGAAATTAAAATTATAGTTTTAAATGCAAATACTGTTGGTAGCTAAATGTCTTCAGCTCATTCAATGCTAAAATCCTCTTTCAATTTAATATTTTGTTAATGTACTTGTGCCGCTTTATGTGAGCAAAAAAATGCAACTTCATTTTCCTCGAAAAAGGTACATGCTACTGAATTTCGACAAGTATACCCTTTTTTTGTAGTATGCTTTAGAGTTTACAGAACCATTTAGAAATGTAAAAAATTTTGACTGTTAACATTTTTTTTTTCGGTTGTACCCCTCCAATTGCCTGCATCGGCGACACTGCTTTTAAAAAAAGAAACCATTTGCACATTATTCTTAACGCACAGTTGATGTTTACTCGTGTACAAATTTTGACATTTTTATCGTTAGCCGATTTAAAGATAATTAAGGATAACCATTTGGAAAGTAACAACTTCAACACACTGTATCTCGAAAACAGGACGTCTAAGAAAAAAAAAATACATGAACTAGCCTTATTATTTTCTCATGAGGAACTTGCACACGTTTTTTTTGAAACATCCCTGTTTTTTTGTAATTGTATAAAAAAATTAATTTAAATTAGTCATATTTATTTTGAAATATGATTAGTTTAAACTAATTTTTTTTTATTAAATATAAATTTTTCTTCTACATCATTGAAACCGCAAAATTTTATCGTTTAATTTTGTCGGACAAGCAAGAAAAAACCGATAATTTTGTCGGACAATTAAATTCTCAGATCAATATTGCATTTTTTTTTAAATAACGACGCCTTTGTCCGACAGCTGGTTATAACCAACCATGTTGTCGTAAAATCGACATCTACGGGGCGTCGGACAGCAAAAACTTCTCAAGAATTTTGTCGGACAATAAGATACTTTCATTTCAAATCTTTTTACCAAACCCTCCCAGAAAAATCATCTTGATGGTTGTCACCAACCATAATGTCACCAAATCGACATATTTGGGGTGGCGGGCAAACTCAAAATACCCAACATTTTCGCCGGACAAATTTTTTGGGGGGTTTAAAATAAATATATCTTTCATTTAATCTTAAAAAAAGTGCTGGTCATAACATTCCATGTTACTACTGTTGAATTTTCCCCATAGTCAAACTTATTAAGCTGCACGCAAAGTTAATCATTTATTTTTTTGTACGTGTTCCCGTGGACTATAAGGTTATATACTTTACCGCAATTAGGCCCGGTTGTATAATAGTTAGTTAACCGTTGGTTAGAAGTTAACTATGAAGTCTAAAAATGTGTTGTAAGTTGTACTAAAAATAATCATGTTTTAAGTCTCGTTTAACTACGAAGGTTGATATTCTGAATTAATATATTAATTACCTGAACATAGTTGTTAATTTGGTGATACTTACTTCATGAACACTTCTTCCATTGTCGTCAAAGAAATGCCGTACCCAAGAATTCCCAATCCCTTTGAGTTGTTTTCTAATTCCTTCAGCATGGGTTCGAATTTGGAAGAGTAACTTTGTTCCATGAGATATATCAACTCCGAACCAACATTACTATGAACCTGCAACAGGGACGTTGCACCTATCAGGAAAATATATTTTGGGAAAGGAATATAATTGAACAAAAAAATTTGAAAATTCAGTTGGCAACTTCTAAGAGGGCCATTACAATTGTAATTTATTATTTTATTTACTCACAGTTATCTACACCACTTTTAAAGCAAACATTAAACTTAAAAATTGGACAGTTTTTCAGAGTCAGAGACTTCGGCAATTTTGAGTTTTTAATGAAATATCCAATATATCTAATCAGATTAATCACTAGTGGTTCGGTAGGCATGGTTAGATTCATTTGCGATGTAATAATAATATAACACAATGTTTTAACTATCTAAATATGTTATAAATAAATTCTGAGGTAAATAGATAATATGACTTGACTTGAATGATGAAATTTTTACATTACCTTTAGTGGCGTCAAAATCACCAATGATTAGTGTGTAATTTTACAGAACAATTTTATGAGTGTATGTATAACAAACTATGTAAAGTAACCTCAATGTCAGGTATATATTTCCGTAACAACGCGGTAACTTCTGCGGGACGGCACTCTGGGGATTTGTCCATGACGAGATTGTAGCCTGCTCCGAATTTTTTCTTCAGGAAGAAGCTCGATCCGCAGCACTGCAACTGTCCCGCCGCCATGATAGCTATCCTGTCTCCAAGAAGGTCCGCTTCATCCATGAAATGAGTGCTCAGTAATATTGTACGTCCTAAAATACCAACGGATACACTATTTTTTCGGTTTCTATCAAGAAACAAGAAACATTTGTTTCGGATTTAGAAAAGGCTTGTCTTTCTTTTTACTCACATTGATATGTTGTGGTTGAGCACATAATAATTATAACTCTGTAATCCCTAAAAAATATATTTACCTTTTGATTTATGGAATGTTAATTTCCTTAAATAATTTTCTGAACAAAGCCAATAGTTTTGCTTATAGTACAGTCACTGAAGCTTTTCAACCTTCGAATTCTTTGAAACTGAACCAATCGACTTGAAATTTGGCTCAGAAAACTACGCATTTTATTAAAAAAGTTTAATGAACAAAAATGTAGATAATAAATAAACAAAGAAAATCGTTTTTTAAAAAGTGTTGTACGTCGTATACAAAGCGAAATATGCTTAGTGGAAGGGGACTTGTTTTGAGGGGAATACTCGAATCGATGTATTCATCGTCAAATAACGGAAAAAAGGATTAATTTTAAGGGAGTAATTAAAGGAGTTTTTTGTAGTACTCAAAGAGACCTTAAAAATGAGTATTTATAAAAGTTAATTAGAGCAAAATTGAAGGAGTTATCGTCAAAAACAGATGGGTTGCTCATATTTTTTGAGGAAAAATGAGCAGTAAACGCCGTACCATTTCCATCAGAACTAAAATTAATCGTAGACCATTTACGATTAGTTTTGTTTTAGTGTCTTTCATACGATCCTGAAGTTAGACCGGTTTAGAATGCGTATTTTTTTAATAATGTACGGTAAAAGTTGAAAACGTATTTTTCATTATTCAAAAAAATTGCTTTATTTATATAATAACTCTGAAACTATGAAAGATACGTAAAAAGTGATAGACAACAAAAATGTAGCTTTTTTTCAACAAATATTTTGCTTTTTTTTATTCCTATAGCATAAAAAATAAAGGTGATATCGCCACTTGAAGTATCCATTTTAGTGAAAAAAACGACCTGTCTCGAGCCCTTCGATCCTTTCCCTTAAAAAAACGAAGGACTTAAAATGTTTTACATGCAAACGATCTTACAGTTCTTGAAATTATCTTTAAAATGCTTTTTTGTAGGATACTATATATAGCTTCAAAATTAACCGAGTTATGGTAAAAAAACCAATGACATTTTTACTTTTAATAATTGCACCGTTAAAGAACTCCAAAATTTCCAAGCTTTTAAAAAGTAATTTTTATCAATATAGAGGTGGTTTTTAGGTTTTGAAAGGGAAAAATTCTTTTATTAGCCATTAGGTAACTTTTACTTTAAATAATTGCACGATTTAATCATTCCAAATTTTTAAAAAGTAATTTTTTATCATTATTTTTTGCATATTACCTCTATGCACCTATTCCATCTTTTATTAATTTTTTATTAATTTACCTTCTTTTTGTCGTTTCAAAAGAATCCATAGAGCTCTCCTAGCTGAAGGATCCATGCCAGCCGTGGGTTCATCTAACATTACTACCTTTGAATTTCCACATAGTGCCATGCCCACGCACAACTTACGGATCATCCCGCCTGAGAGAGTTTTTGATTTGGAGTGTCTCTAAAACGCGGAATTTACAATTACAACCAATAGAATAATAATATACCTCCAACTTATTGGTGAACGGTGGAAAAATTAAAAAATCGTGACAAATCTGAAGTATAAACAGAAAATGACAGAGGACTAAGTATACTTCCCTGGGGTACTCCTTTATTTGTAGGCAACAAGTACTGCCAAGAGTATTGATAGTAGAGAAAAGAATTACCAAGAAAGGAAAGCATGGATGTCTAGGTTCAGTGTATATAAAACGGTGGTGTCATGAAGAGTATATGATCTATACGGTTTTTGTTAAAATTAGTGCCACGCAAAATAAAGGAAAATATGATAATTATGGTCCTACTGGTTTCCTTTGAAGGGATACATGGACAATTGTAATAGTAATCTACTTACACTGATTCCACAGCCCTCGCTGAGTCCGAGTCCGAGGCCTGTTTGACCTTGTCAGGTCAAGTTAAAAGTCATTCCACTTTCATCCTTCGCGGTAAGAAATGTTCTGGATTGTTGCCGTGCTTGAAGTTGAGGGAGAATTTTGGTAGACAGTTGAGTGCGTTATATGGTACATGTCAACAATATAGTAATATTCGTTTTGTATTCTATGGTGAAAGATGAAGATTCACATTCCATTAATAATAATTTTTTTATAACGCATACGTAATGAAATTTTTACATGTAGACTGCCCGAATATCTCTACATTAATGGACATAAAATATCTTTACTTACAAACCTAACTTCATTAAAATCGTTAAATTTGGATCATTACCTATTAAAATGACCAATCATCTGAGTAAATGCCTCATTTCTATGATGCTTCTAATAGAGCCTTTACAAACCTGCTCCCATGAAGGATACTGGAAAGGATGACAACTGCTCCGAATTCTCTTCTTCTCGATTTGACCTTAAAATGACCTTGAATCTGACCTGTAAAGGTCAAACGGACCTCGGATTCCGAATCAGCGACCTCGAAAACATAAGTGGTCTAGTCCGATCCACAGACTTTTTTTTGTGGGGACGTGTTATTATTAAATAACTAAACGTCTTGTTACGTTACCTTGTCTTCCAATTCCAACAGTTTAATATACTTGTCAATTTCTGCCTTAATTTCAGATTTATGAAGGCCCTTTAGTTTACTGAAAAAGTACAAATGTTCCTCTACAGTCAGCTGATCGAAGATGATGTTGTGCTGTGGACAAAGCCCCAGACTCTGTCTTACGCCATCCATTTCAGTGCGAATGTCGAATCCATTGACTTTTGCAGTGCCGCTGGTGGGTGTTATCATCCCGGTTAACATGGACATGGTGGTCGTTTTTCCAGCACCGTTGTGTCCCAGCAAGACGGTTATTTGGTCCTCGTACAAATTTAAGGATAAATCTTCAACGGCGGCCTTTCTACGAAACACTTTTCTAAGGTTTGTTATTTGTATTCCGGTTCTTAAATGAAACGGTTCACGTTCAAAGAACTCTCCGACGTTGGCAGGGTTTCCGAAAAAGCTAGTCTCTGAATCCTCTAAAAAAATATTGCTATAAAAGTTAGTTTAGTAGTTAAAGTTAAGAAAAGTAGTAAACCATATACCTACTCCCACTCCTATAATTACATTTAGACAAGGCGAAAACCTCGCATTCGTGGGAGAAATTTTCCGACTCGATTTTTTTGCATATTCAGATTCGTGAGATGTTCCTTAACATGAATCGACATGATGGCGGCCGGAAATCTGGTGCCCATTTGTTTAAATAAAGTTTTTTTAAACAAATTGTAAACATAGGTTTTTTCACTACGGAAAAAATCTTTTTAGGTTTTTTTGTACATTATAAACAAAAAAGTTCCTATGCACTATGCCTCTAAAATTTATAGTTTTAAAGTTATAAACAATTTAAGTTGCTAAAAATGCGAAAATGTCGATTTTCAACGGCCGATTTCCGGGTTAAAAATTGTAATTTTTGATGTTGCCAGGTACCTAAATTAAAGTTTAAACATCCCCCTACAAGATGCTGAAAAGTTTTTGGGACTCATTATTTTAAAAGCCTTGTTTTTTAATTGTTAATAAAGCGCTATTGAAGCGGCCCACAGTGTGATATTTCAGCAAACTAGGTGGAAATAATTGATTTTTTGAAAAACGCACATAATTAAAAACACATCATTTTCCAATAGAAGAACATCTCTCTTATGTCACGACATATCTAGTTTTCTTAGAATTGGCTTGGGACCCTAAAAAGGGTGGTTATAAATTTTCTTTACCTGGGTTGTATATAAACTGTATTGTTACACTCTCATCAGTTGTTTGTGTTAAGTGAATGAGTGCACTATACCTGCTTGGTGTACTAATATTTGTGTGTGGTTACTGTAATCTGCTATATATCAAGGTATGTTAACAAGTTTTAGTTTTTTGAAATATAATTTCGTGAGCCTGTAAATCGTTTTTAACATAGGGAAGCAATTAACATGTAAAAAAATTTATATTAGCAAATTGGAAGTGGATTATACTATAGTATACTGTTTTATACCGCAATAACCTTATATTTAATTGAAAGCTAGTCTCTTGTGTTACTCAATACATAAAACAGATTGTGCGCAAAACTGCGGATTCTTACATTTTTTACTGATTTTCAGAATGGTTCCGCAAATTTCTCGCCAGTCTATGTTTGACGTAAGGGTTGCAAATTCGAAGACGACAAGAACTGACTTCGTAATTGCATATCTTTTGCGAGAATTGGCCGATTTCTCATTGCCGGATGACGTTGTAGTTACTTTGAAAGTAACAATTAGAAGTTTGTGCCAAAAAATTGAGCAAAGATGGGCTAAAGCAGAAAGACATCGAAAACGATTTTTGACTGCGAATGCGTCGTGGCTTCAAGGAAATCTTACGTTTCCAGACATTGTCATCCAAGCTTTACCGGGAACTTCACAAGGTAGTTCGAGTAGTAGGCCTGGTAGGCCTCAAAAAAGCTTTGAAGAGTCGGGTTATAAAGCCAAAAAACAAAAACTACAAAATCTTTTATAATGTAGTCAAGAAGAATTATTCATGGACACTGAAATTAAGCTTCACCTGAACTGGATACATCTCAAGAAGAACATTTATCCAATCAGTAGCAATTTTAATTATTAAGTGATTCTGTTTTCGTGACTTTTTTGTACTAAATAAGCAATTTTTATTTTAGTACCTACACCTTGTTTATTGTAAAAATAGTCTGTCCTTTAGTATGTCATCATAAAATTTACCTGTAACTAAAACTGACGAAATATATGTTTATAAGTAAAATAAGTTAGTTATTCGTAAATGGAGTAATTATTATTCATTCATTATTCATGATTCATATTTTTTTGCATACTATTACATACATAAGATATGCTCAGACGTTTATTTTATTAGTATGACACATAAAAATCAAGAAAAGCTCGTGAATTTTTCATGCAAGAATTAATTCCACCTAGTTTGCTGAAATATCACACTGTGCGGCCGTTGAAAATTGTCATTTCGCATTTTTAGCAACTTAAATTGTTTATAACTTTAAAACTATAAATTTTAGAGGCATAGTACATAGGAACTTTTTTGTTTATAATGTACAAAAAAAACCTGAAACCCCAGCAAAATGTTTATGTAGCTTTGTTATAAACAAAATCCAAACAACCCAGGCGACTTCGCAAGATTTCGAATAATGTCGAAATGAATTGATTAAGAAATAACTCCTAATCTTTATTTCTTGAACCATAAAGAATTGTGGGAGCAGATAAAATGTTATACACCACGCATCAGTTAAGTACAATTTACCAGTCTCGGACTCACCTGGTAAATAATACTTACCTCTTTTATGGTGTAAATAACTAAAGGACCCCGCACTGTTTTATGAAAATGTGAGCTCGATCAAATTAGCTAAAATTGTTTTTTTTTTTTGTTACTGACAAAAAGTCTCTGTAGTACTTAGCTCCGAAAATCAGTTATTTCCCACTTATAGCGGTTTAAGTCAGTTCTGCTGATGCTGACTGCAAAGTAGTATGAGCAGAATATTGTAATAAAAGCCATAACTTTGGTGAAAAAATTAATCTGATGACTTCCTAAAGTAGCTAGTAGTAGTAAGGCTAATTAACATTTTTGTCATGTCGCACATTTCGTTCAAAACTGTCGTTTCTCAAAATATTTCAATTTTAAAGAACATGCAAAAGAAAATTATTAGACGTTTTTTTCAATTTATTATGGCTAGTATGCTAGTTATGGCTAGTAGCGCCATCTTTCGAATAATTTTCCAATTTACAATAATATTGTGCAGGAAGAAAGAACACAAGTAGGTGTTTATTTTTTAAATAATCACAAACATTTTCAATTTTGACTTGAAATTCTTTTGAAGGGGTTGTGTGATGTGTCCAATACCAAACTGACTTAGAAAATGTATAAGAAATATGCAATTACAGTTTATGGATGCCGCTTCTAATGCGCACTGAATGCACAACATCTTGCACTGACCATACCATGTCTCTGATCATAAACTGGCCGTTTTCACTAATACTCACGTTTATAAATAGTTGATGAGCGCCAGTAATCAGCCATACACAAGAAATACCACGGTTTTGATACCCCGTACTCCCCAGGAAAAACTGTCTCTACATATATTGCGATAAACATATAAATAAGTGAGTCAATAATTAACATTATCCATATCAGTCCCAGTGATAACGAATCATCAGGGTTGAACGACTTAAACAATGTATTCCATTGGACACCTGAAAAAATTGGAATGAAAACCAGGTATATGTATATTCAATAATCGGGAAATTTCGTGTGTATATTCTTTTCTGAAATCGTTTACGATTTCTTGACAGATCTACTACTATCGAAATAAATGAAATAGACACCTGAGTTTGGAAACCGATATTAAGAAAACGTAGGGTATAAAAAAATAAATTGTCTTATTACCGTCCTCAATTTTTTCGTACAACAGTATAATATTTAGTCCGTAAGCAACGGCAGTGTTGGAACATAAACACATCAAGAGTTTACTTCCCAGTCCCAGAACATTCAATTGCGTCCTAGTTAATAAGAACGGTATATAGGAAATAAACCAGGCCAGACCAGCTACGGCCGCAGCAGTATTAGCTGTAACGGAAAACATTTTAGGATGAATTTGTATTTGAATTCATGCATTACCTTTATTAAACATGACACTAACGGCGAAACAGAATGTGATCGTTGCGCAAACGTAAAACATAAGGAATAATATTAACACCGTCGGATCTGAATGGGTGAATATTGTGACATCTTGTTTGGGCATCCATTGCAATTTCAGTAGAATTATAATTAGTATCGATGATAACAACAGAAATATAAAACATTTTACAAACCAAGCCGTCCAGTGCAACCAGTTGGGTAGACCCATTATTTTCATGGATTCCTGAAATATAACAATTCGAGGAAAGAGTTTAAAGCGGATAATGCTAAAACCGCAGAATATCTCGCCGGGAATTGACTTACCATTATTTGTGAACCATTTTCGAGAAAGAAAAGAAATAAAGAGTTTTTATAATTGTGAATGTTTATAAACAATAACTTGTATTTTAAAACAATAATAATGACAACTGTCGCGCGTTCTTAGTAGTTAAGTGGTATAATAGTCTACGGGCCCATGTACAAAGAAAAAAATGATTACCGCAAGCTGTAACTTTGCGTCAACAGTGGTAAGTTTTCCCGTGATTTTCAGGAAAACATGTCAATCTGGCATAAACATGGAATGTTATGACCAGCCCTTTTTTTTAAGTTTAAATGAAAGATATATATTTTTTAAACCCCCCAAAAAATATGCCCGACAAAAATGTTGGTATTTTGAGTTTGTCTCCCACTTCAAATATGTCGATTTGGTGACATTATGGTTGGTGACAACCAGCAAGCTGATGATTGACTCGTCAAACTTAAGCTGCACGCAAAGTTACAGCTTGCTGGTAATCATTTTTTTCTTTTTTCGCCAAAGACATCATGTTCATGATCATAGCCGAAAAAAAAAATAATAACCCTCATAAAATTTTTACTTACAGGCCGATTTTGACCAACTCTTTTTGTAATTGTAGAGGAGATAAAAGTTTACTTTAGGACCAAGTGTCATCCTTTTTATACAAAAACCAAGGCCTACCAGATAATTTTTGGAGAGTCAAAATTGAAGAAACAATATTAGCGATTTTTGTAGACAAAATCTAAGTACGCCAGTGAATTAAGCGCCCCTTAAAATGGGCCAATACAAAATTTCATAAAAAATATTGCATATTAATAATTCTGTGGTACTCATTTTTTTTTTCAAAAAAGGTCCCCTACTCCCCCAATAACTACGCCACTGGAGTGTATTATGGAATAAGTTATCCGTGAAAAAATAATCCCAACTAAAAAAATGTCATCCCACAAATGTTACCACTAAATATTTTTTTCCAGTGAAGTTACAGGAAATATCATATAAATATTTGAAACTTTTAACACCCGTAGGGAAGTGTCCATTTTTATGGGGCAAGAGTTGATACGCCATTAAAGTTTGGCAAAACTTATCATTAACACCGTGTATTAGAGAGCTAAAATTACTTACTTTAAGTTGCTTCTCTTTTTCGGTGGTAATTGATCGAACTATATTAATGCAAGGGTAAATGAAGCTTAGTACAATCAATAGACTCAGAAGTACTTGCAGATATACTTGTAGAGCGTCCTCGTACCATTCCGGGTGCGGATACCTTCTCATACTTATTAACGGCACTTGACTAAAATCAATCTTGGGTAGAGGTAAGTTGTTCTTGACGGCTATTAGAATCATGGTCAGGATGTGCTGAACGTACAAAAATCCTTCACCGTGGTAATCTAAAATAGAGGAATGCACAGGACGTTTAAAAAGAACTGTAGACAGATAGTGTTGTTATGTACAATACGAATCTTGCACACATCTGTGGGTATACGCATTGTGTGCGGATAGCCAACCATACGTAATTATGGTCCGTACGGTATTTGTTGAGATATAATTCCAAGGAAAGAACAAGCCAATAAAGTTTTGTTACCGGAGCTACTGTAACAATTTACCGCCTATGCTTTTCAACGTCGGGGGTCGAATGCGGTTAATTCCAAGAAAGTGACGCATGGGTCTTCTTGGAATTTTATCTTAACAAATATCATACGGGTTGTATTAATAATGATGGAGCCTTACTAGGTATACCGCCAGTAATGGTTTCATGTTGTCGAGGTCCAGATGATGGAGACAAGGGAAAAACAAGATTAGTTTTCCAATACAGGCCCTCTGTGTTTGGTTCTAGATAAAATCTTATTTCTCCGTAAAACCTTAAAATGAAATTTGAAACAATCTTTCCCCTAAGTTAGAACATAGTTTGTTATATCAAGGCCTCTGTGTACACGACGAGATCTAGACGATTATGGTTTGAGCATTGAGTAAAAAGTCACTTTTATTCAGTGCATTTGATAACCAAAAATAAGATACTTTGTACTTTGTAAATGAAGAACAGCAAATGTATTGTTATTCATGTAACAAGGTAAACATAACTTATGTGAAAAATTATAAATATTATTCAGTCAGTGGTAGGGGTATTTTACTTAAACAAACACATTAAAAACAAAAATAAAACAGCTAAATAATCAGTAATCAATAGAGATAAATTGTACAGCTTAGCTTCATTCATCATACGAGCTGGTCGATTGTTTTCAATATGTCTCTGCATTAAGGACCGCTCATTATCTCTTAGTAGTAATAGTTATGGTAGCTACTGCATTTTCTATCTCCTTATTTTCTTCCCTTGGTGTTGCAGAGGACCTATTTTAATGCAACCCCCTTTGACGCAAATCTTCCAGCGACGCTGGCTGTGTTTTATAGATTTTACTTTTTAGGTATCCCCACAAAAAGAAATCAAGGGGCGATAAATCCGGTGATCGTGGAGGCCACTCAATGCTGCATCTTCTCCCACTCCAATTCCGTACAAAACGTCGTTGGTCCAAATACTGACGGACAATTAACTCATAATACGGAGGAGCACCGTCCTGTTGAAAAATCAAATGATCTTCATCATACTCTGGAACATTTTCAATAATATCAGTCAAGGCAGGGTCAATAGCGTCTCCCAGTAATTGCAAATACATTTGGCCAGTCAAATTACCAGGTAGAAAAAAAGGACCCACCAGCCGGTTACCAAAAATTCCAGCCCATACATTTAATTTTTCCGGTTGCTGTGTATGCACCTCGTGAAAAACTCTTGGGTTTGAATCGGACCAATAGCGGCAATTGTGACGATTTATCCTCCCGTTCAAGAAAAAACTGCATTCATCAGAAAAACAGATGTTAAAAAGGAACTGTGGATTGCAAACGGCGGTCATAATCATCCTCAAGAAGTTCCTAGACTAAATGTATTTTGTATGGATGGAATGTATTCTTCTTCAAAATTGTTTGTATGCTAGTTCGATTGATCCCAGACACAGATGCCAGCTGCCTCGTACTTAATGTAGGATCAAGATGAATTTTTTTTTCGTGTTAACGAAATAAATACTCAAAATTGGAGACTATGTAAAACATGTCGAAATATGATGAAAACCTTAGTAGAGTTTTTGTCAGTGGCGGCCCCTAAGGGAGATACAGCCCCTTGAAGAAAACTCAGGAAACAGTTTTTATTGCATAACTTTAAAATGGTTTAATATTAAATCGCGAAATGTTGGGGTTGTACGACTATTTATATGCTTTAATAATCGGCATAATATACAAACCAAAATAAATAATAATTTAGTTTATTCTATAATTATTACAGTATCTAAATTCAAATTTATTAGATTGGAATATTGAGTAGGTAATCTAATTAGTAATGGACATAATATACTTGTACACCTCTGTTAAGTGTCATAAATAGTAATTTTCTCATATTTATTTTGCAGTAGGAATTTTTTAACAAGTAATGATTTAAGTAGAAAACGGCTAAAGCTATTAAAATCTAATAAGAGACCTTTTTTAAGCAAAATATTATAAATTTTCATATTTTCGGTTCAGAAAGTAGAATGATCCCGCATTTTCTTAGGCCTCTGTACAAATTTTGATTTGTATATTATACCGATTATTAAGCATATAAATACTTCCGAGATTTAAATATCAAACCGTTTTGCAGTTATGAAATAAAAACTGTTTTCCTGAGTTACCCCTCCAAGGGGTTGTATCTCCCTTAGGGGCCGCCACTGACAAAAACTATACTAAGGTTTTTATGATACATATTTCAACATGTTTTACATACTCTCCAATTTTGAGTACTTATTTCGTTAACACCTTGTATAAGATATGAGATCGTTGATACTCAGTGCCTGGGCCGTTACTACAGCCAGACTTGCAGAAAGCAACCTGCTATTTCGCAGGTATTTGTGAAAGGAAGAAGTGTGTTGTCACTAGGCGAAACAATTTTTGATTTGTGATATTGCGGAAAACAACTACTCCGCGGACTAATACCCCGATCAGCACTGAATTATACCCACAAAAATTCTCACACTGGTTTAGCTTCTAGAAATTATTTTGACAACATATACCTTGTAAATAACTGTTATGAAATTTATATTAAAATTTACATTCATGAAAATTTTGTAAGGCTTACCTTAGAGTGATTTTGAAATTTTTTATTGCGCTAAAGTCGGTAAGACTTTTATAAGTATCGTCGAATTGTATAGCAGCAAAGATGTAATAAGTAGATTCGTCAATAAAATATTTTTCGAGCTTCGCAGAATCCTCTATTCCCATAACATCTTCGAATGTATTAGTATCACGGAGGGCCTCCATGACTTTGTCCACGACGACACCTCTTGGTGAGTATAACAGGTTAAAATAACTGAAAACAAGTTGTACGTATATAATATCATACAACAGAAAAAAATATACAGGGTGGCACAAAAATATGGAAACCCCTGAATAACTCGTCAGGAGTGCATTTTCTTGAAAAATGATAAATACAAAAGTTTTAGGATTTTTCCCTGGCTATTCAATGGACCTTGTATTCGACCTTGACCTTCTCCTTCAAGGTCATAATTGGCCTCTTGTATACCCCCCTTTCATTACTCGAGTACTTGAGTACCTATTTTTCTTCAAACCATCTATTACTACACGGGTGGCTTGGTGGCAAAGTCTCGTACAATTTTTTATGTATGATAGCATGGTATTGAGTTACAGAGATTTATTGCTCTATTCTCATTACCATTTTATCGGAGACCACACGCAGGTGGAAGGTGTTGAGCGACCCAGGTCTCTGGTAGGCTGCCACAGCCACATCCCGAGCCTGCCTTAGGTTACCCATCCAAGTTCCAGCCTACGTCCGTGATGCTTACCTCGGCCGATCGAAATTCATCGGCCAAGACACCCGGCTAGACGGTCCCCTAAATCGTTCTATATAATGCAGATTAAATATAAATAAATATACAAAAAATAATACTCACCTGTAATATTCTGCTCCAACTTGCTTATAATTTCTAAAAGACATAAAAAAGTCATTATGCTATCTAAGGCTATGTTCCCACCAGTTACAGTCTCACACTTTCTTAGCCTAAGTTAACAATCTTTGATGTCTTTGTTGCTCTAGATCTAGGCTCTGTGGGAGTGGACAGAGTCTAAGTCTGTAACTGGCGGCGACCATGGGAGTTAATACATATCAGCACAGACCGCTAGACCATTTGTATATGGATGAATATTTAAAATTATTAATTTTTTGTAACAATTCTCTTGTTTTATTCCACTTCAATGAACTGTTTCATATTAGTGGAGTCAAGATAGATTTTGACTTCGCGAAAATTACTGGAAAAGAGAACATTTTATTTTATTTTTCGCTTTGTAAAGTTGCCAGAAACAATATATAAATAGTTACCAACTGTAGAGTGTACGCTAAATTTTTTATTTAACAAATTAGTTGCAAAATTACAGTTTTTGCAAAATATATAAAAAATATTAATTTTTTAATAAAATAACTGCGCCATTCGAAAGAACAGGAAATTTTACATAAACAATGTTAAAAATTTTTTTCTAAAATGCGAGTTGAAGGCTGTAGAATTTTTTTTCTAACGTACGAAAAATGAGACGGGTGGCCTCCAAGTATAGCTCTCGAAGAGAGCGCGGCCCCGAGCGCGCTACACTAAATTTGTTATAACTTTGGATCTAATTGTTCAAATCGACCTCACAAAAATTTAAATGAAAGAAGAGTCATCCGGCTATCAAAATTTTATGTCTTTAAACTTGAGAAAAAATATGTATACAGGGTGTTAGTAAATAAGTGCGACAAATTTCAGGGGATGATTCTACATGAGAAAATAATGGCAGTTTGCTTATAAACGTATGTCCGCAAATGATTCGTTTTCCGAGATACGGGGTGTCAAAGTTTTTCTTAAAAACTGACGATTTAATTTACTGCTCTGAAACCGGTCGAGATGTGCAAATGAAATTTGGTGAGTTATATAATGTTATTGTATTAGATAGTTCTTGATAATGTATTAAAGAAATAAAAAATACGCGTTAAGATGTTTTATTTTTTTGCATCAAAACGGCGCCCCATACGAAGAAAAGTCAAGAGAGATTTTTTGTCACAAATTGAACGAGGAATTCAAAAATGATTTGTAATATCTCAGTGGTGTACAATTTTTTTCTTTAAAAATATTGAGATTATTACCCGTACGCGCGCCAATGATGAACATAAAATTCTTAATTGCATGTCAAAAAATGCGCAATAACTACCTCTTAAAACCCAGAGCAATAAATGAACTCGTCAGTTTTTAAGAAAAACTTTGACACCCCGTATCTCGGAAAACGAATCACCCCCTGAAATTTGTCGCACTTATTTACTAACACCCTGTATATGTATAGTACGTATACAAATTTACGTCATTCTATAATTTTGTTCAATAATAAAATAGCTGTCATTATTTTAATTTTTAAAATAAATATCTGTAACATTCATAGATTACTCTTCAAATGACGATTGAAACAGTGAGCGATATGAAAAAAATCTTAAAAATTTAATTTGAAAAATATTGAGCCCAACATATTCAATAATTTAAAAATATCACAAATTTGACTTTTTAGGCCATACTTTATAGATCAAAAACTATAGTTGTAAATGTGATATTCAAACTTTATGAGAGCACTTTTTAAAGCTTAAAATCTCTTCTTTAAGATGGTGCATTTTATTTTTCTTAAAAAATTGAAATAATAGTTGAAAAAATAAAAAATAACAAAAAATAAAAATATTTCATGAAAAATCCATGAAATTTATTGTAAATAAAGTTTAATAATGTACAAAATTAAGACCTTAAAAAAAGTAAATCCAGCGAAAAATAATTTTTTTATTTATAGTAATAAGTGGAAAATTGTTATAACAGGAAAAATAACGTTTTTTGATAAATTGGTTTAATATTCATTTTTGAAACATATATTCTGTATCTGAAATTGTGAATATAAGTTCTATTATTGATGTAGACACAGATATGAGTCTAATATATACAGGGTGTTCAAAAAGTTAGGAACTACCCCTCTATCAGAAAATACTGCTCAAACAAAAAAAAATGAATAAGACAAAAGTTTCAGGGTTTTGAGTGAGCAATCCAACGGTTTTGTTACTTACAGTTTTATTTATTTTAAAAGCGTTTTTCGTTTATAAGAATTAAATAATTATTATTATAAATGGTATAAGAATATGATTTTTATGTTTTCGAGTAAGCTGCAGTTATCAGTGTGTTAAAAAGTGTATTATTCACATATTTTGTCCATTTTGAGGTTATACTCTCGTACACTTGTAATTCTTTAATATAATATTATTACTTAATATTACAAATAATCTTCAGTTTGCATTTAAGATATTTATATTCATTTTCTTTTATGTTACACCTGTAAATGTATGAGTTTAATATTTATATATGAATATTGATCCGTTTTTAAAATAGTTAATGAATAAATAAATAATAGGGGACGTTGATTTTGATTTTGTAATTTTGTATTTAAAGGAAAGCAGGGAAAGCATTGATTGCCTTAAATCACCAGTTATTTTTGAAGAAGAGCAAGAACTCGATGAGATTTAAAAATTAATTATTTTGTAATAAATTTGTTTTTTAAAAAATAAAACATGTTTTAAATAAAACCTCTTTAGCTATTTATAATTTTCGTTTTTCGAACCTCTATATTACAAATATGAGCGAGTTTGATTTAAAATCGATAATTGTTAAATAAATTGTTTAAAAGAGTCGGCCATATTGGATCAGCCATTTTGAATTTTCAATTCCCGACTTCATATTCTTATTCAGCGACATCGAAAGCCCCTATATTGTCAATTTGAAAGATTTCGATTTAAAATTCATTGAATTATTTTAAATGTTCTCAAAAAAACTATTTATTATTGTTTAAATAATTAAAAAATAATTAGCGTACAAAAATAAGTTTATAACTTTTTTCTAATACTTATCTCAAAGTAATTTCAAAAGGTTTTAGGAAAATCCATGCTTCCCATAATTATTTCGAAATAAAGCTTAATTTTAAGCTATCTTGACTCCACTAATAACATTAATAAAAATCAAGTGGGTCGAAATCTGAATATCTACGATGTCAAAAGCAATGCTAAGCACTTTATCCGTTAATAATAATAATACTTGTGTATACATTATGTTACTGCAGTTTCTTGAAAAGCAAAAACTTGTCTAATAAAACCAACGTTAACTTTAAAAAACTGACGAATTGTACGCTAAATTGAACTAGGCCAAAAAATAATTTGCACAACACTGCGGGATAATCAGTAGTATCAATTTCATATACAAGGTTCAAAGGTCACAGTCTTAGGAACCATCCCAACAGAGTTCAGATTTGTGATTGGCTTTTACAGCAACGGGAGATGAATCAAAAGTTTATCAGAAACATATCCCGTATCAACAGTATTCTCTTTGGGTGTTTTATCTTGCAAGTGAAAGCTATGCGGGTTATTTGTCTTCTAAAAGATGTATTTCTGAAGGTGTGTGAAAAACAAAAATTTTTGCTGTGTCTCACCCTTCCGTTTCACTGCATAATTGCTTCTTAAACTCAAAATCTTCTGGGAAGGTGCAAAACTGCGGATAGGCTACAGCCGGGTGTTTCTTTGGATCCACCAGGCTTCTGATGACTACTATCACCACAGAAAACACAACGGGGCTTAGGATTTCGAAAATTGTTTGAAGAGGTCTGCGGTACTGCAAGACCCAATTCTTCCACAAAAGTAACAAGAATTTGCCGAGCTGGTCTGGCATTTTCGCTAGAACAAAAATAATTGAATAAAAAAGCCACTTTAAAATGTAAAATTTTGTTCTTAATTTTAGGAGAAAGTTTAATATTTGTTTTGATTAAGAATTATTATGGTTTTGCAACAGTGAAAAAGTTTTTTAGCTTATAGTCCAGTCATTGAAGGTAAAATACGGCGTTACTGCATAATTTTCCCTTAGAGCACCGATTTGCACCAAAATTTGGATTTAGGTTCTACTTACTCTCTACTTCAAAGTAACCCCCCCTGTGCCGGGGGTTGCTTTTTATTTTTTAGGTGTTAAAACTACCCATATTCGAACATAATTATAGAAATGTAGATTCGAGCGTGTAAAAGGTTGAAATCATATTTAAATAAGTAATTATGATAAATTGAAAATTGCCAGTCCCTAAAAACCGTCCCCTATGACAGTAATAATTAAAAAATAATGTTGAAAAATATTATTCAGCAACTTTAATCATATAGTGATATTAAATTAATCTTTACTGTTTTAATTTTTTATTATTTATTTATAAGTTTCAACTCTTATAAAAATCACCCCTTCAAAAAAATCGAACAATATAATATATATCTTTTTATTATTTAAAATATAATGTATTTATTTATTTTCAAACCTTAAAAAAATCCTACTGATTAAAATTTGCAATCAAAAATAGGGAAAAATAAGAATGTTATTTTTATATGCATTTAAATTTTTTTATTTTTATAACAATTTTTTTTTGTTGCAAATAACATAAATAATCAACAAGTTAAATTTTCTTTCAGCCCTTATTTTTGTAAGGGTTTGAGCTAAAAGGGTTTGAACAAGTTGCTATTTACGAACATATTCAAACGGTCATATCACTTAATTTTTATCCTACAGAAAAAAAAACAAAAATTTCCCAAAAGCAAATCCTACAATTTTGTACTCTACAAAATTTTGCGTATCATTAATGGTTTTTGAGTTATTTTGAAGAAAAGACAATCTATTCCAAAAACACAAAAAAACTCTTTTCACTTCAAGTTCAACTTTTTTCAAAACTAAGCATTTTAAATCGGTCAAACTTCTAGAGCATATTACAAGTACATAAATAAAGTAAATTGTAAAGCGGTAACGATTATTTTCAATTGGGGTGGTAATTAGGGGGCGATTTACACGTTTTTTCGCCGAAAAAAATACGGACCAACTTTATTTTCGTCATAACTCGCTTAGGTTTGATGCTAGGGACTTTTATAAAAAATAATAATAAAGGTTTTTTCAAGCACTTTAAGAAAGGTTCTGAGTATTCCCTGAAAAATACATTGGGTTTTGGTTATTTCATGTTCAAACTTTCAATTTTGGTGTTGACGAATAAAAATCAACTTTCAACAAGCTATTACTCCGCTTAATACTTACTTTTTGAGTTATTCGCGAAAAACCGTCTGAAAAAAGTGTTTTTTTTTTTGGTTAAAAAATTTACACATTCACTCGCGAATAAGTTGAAAAGTATTGACTTTCAGAAAAAGCTTTATAGAACAATATAATCTGCTTTATGGCCAGTTATAAAACCATTAAATAACTATTTTATGAAGGTATGGGTATATTTATATAAGACCTGTATAAACATTTATATGACTATTTTTTAATTGTTTCCAACAGGCCTTACAAAACCTCCACGGTGACTAAAGTGCTTTATAATACTGTGACAATTTTTGTTGTATAGTTGCTGTATAAATATTCTTACAATGTTTTTGAGACTTATGCTGTTTTATAAGATTTGTCTCGAAAATAAAGTATCAAATTGCTAGTTGGGCATGTACAGGTAGCCTAACATAAACAATCAATAATAATCAATTAACGTGGAGTAGAGAATAGAAAAAGACAAGCAATCACCTTCATGTGTTGTGCGGTTGATGCTAGTTCCGACAGTGGTTATTAATTGTGTATGATGAATGAGAAAGGGACAGACATATCGTCGTTTACCGGCAATTAAATTGCAGATATGTATTTGAGTGTCGTTTTCTGCAACTTCTGATACCGTCCTCTGTGCTGTCACCTGTCAACCTGTCAGATTAGTATTTTGCCCTCCAATAGTTGACTTAATGAAGTGTACGTGAAGAATTTTAAAAATATGGCCATTTTCGGTGGGGAACCTGTATCCCGGTATGTGAAAAAAAAAAGTAGAGGATCCTTACCTTTATAGTCACCAGAGCTGCAGCACTGAAGGCCACAACAAAAATAGTTAGCTTCCTGGGAGGTTTTGTTTTGCTGGTTATGTTTATTGTTTATTAAGTAAAAGCTAAAAAAAATTGTTATTCGATTTTAACCTAATTATATTTCAATATACCTACAAATCTATTTATTGATAAAGATGTAATAAATTGTGAGCTACGTGTGTGAAACATGCATTTCCTGCTATAAAAACAAATTTGTTTCTGTTACAAACAAGTTGCTTACCTTTAAAGAAGTAGCTTCTCAAATAGAATATTAATTTAAAAAATCAAAACAGATGCAGCACGAATGTATAAAATATAAACTAATAGGATATTTCACGCATGATAGACACGGATGTCAAATTTTGTCAGTTATGTAAATAAGACGTCATACTTGATTAAAAGATAATTACTCATAGCAGCGACGACGTCTGGTACACTTAAAAAATAAATAGTTACAAGAAAATAAAGAAGAATAAGAATAAGGGTTGTTTACTTACTAGTAGATAAGTATAAAAATTGGGTTAGAAGAAGAAGATAAGAAATATTTAGGAACTTATCAATTTGATTATACCACAATAGTTATTATTTACACCATAAAGTAGGTAAGTATCATTTACCAGTCTGTGCATGAGCGAAGCATGGGCTGGCAATAGAGTCCGAGATGGTTCATGAAATAAGGATTAGGTTGTATTTTTTGACATTTCTTAATCAATTCAGAACAAAAATACTGGTGTTTCTGAAATGTCATTGCTAGCATATTACATGGAGAAGTCAAAAACTTTAAAGTCATCGGCGAGTTTGTGGCGTGAATACTCAATGATTAAGTCGACTATTTTCATAGAGGAGAACGTGGATAGATTAAAATACCCCAAGCTGAGAACACGTTTGAAACTTAAGAATGACGGCTATACACCTAAAAAGTCAAACCTTTTTACAAGATAACAACAAGTCAATAGGCTTTTTTCGCGACTGAATATTGGTGAATATCTGACTTGTAGTCACTATTTCCATCTCTTTTGATCTTAGTTGTCATATGATAGTTTAAATCTCTTCACTCACTCATACTACACATACCACAACATACAACTTCACTCGCGAAAAAAAGCCTTATGATTTTCTCGTTCAGGCACCCAATAACACATATTTGCTAATGAAGGTAGTGACGGTCTTAGGCATTGCAGGAGCATGCCGTTTTGATGAGTTATTCAAACTTACTTTGGACAACGTCAATTTACAATTACTTCTCGTCTGGGTTCTGTTTCTCACCTAGAAATTCTCAAGAAATTAGATTGGAAATTGAAACTGAAATTTCAAGCGTTTTTATGCGCTATCAAGCAGGTAGATGTTACAACCAACCAGTCGGCAAGAATATCCTTTCTATGATTCCTAATAAGATTGCAGTTTTTGAAACTAGAACATCCTGAAACATATACATACATTCCGAAGAACATCGGCAACGTTACTGGCCAATACGAGAGTTGATGTATTAGCAATCAAGAGACATGGTGGGTGGAAATCCGCCACAATTGCAGAAAGTTATGTTGCTGACAGTTTAAGTAGCAAAAATGAAATAGTCAACAGGATTCTTCACAATGACACTTCAACTCCAGCTTCTAGCAGTACGTCGCATCATGCTGTTTTAATGGATCAGTCAGATAATAATGAGCCTCCGGTGATTTCGATTTCAATAAGATTTCAATGCGTTGCCTTTCCGACACTACCATTGCAATTTAGTAAATAACTTGATTTTGACATAATAGTAACGTTTCGAACTCCAATTTACAACTAAAGCGAAAAATTAACCAGAAAGCCTGGCAAGTAAGTGGTAACAAAAAACACAATATAAAAAATATATCTTTTTTGCGTTAGCAGTGATAGGTACAGTTTCAAATTCTTTATGTTATTCTGTTCAAATTCATGGAAGATAATTTTATTTCACTTGTTAAGTAGGTGTTTTATACAACCCTAAAAACCTTGCTATTGAAAAAATAAAACTTGTTTATTTGGTATGGCTGGATTCGGTTTTCTATAAGCTTTTCAACGAGCCCCCTCATGCCTTATGTTTCCATTTGAAAAAAAAAGTAGGGGTAGCTGGGGGTTAGGGGGTTGAAGAATAATTAATTATTATATAACCGAAAGATGGGAAAAAATCAAAATCAGTGAACGTGTTTCGGCGTTTAAAAAAAAATAACTTATTCAAAGGATATGAATTTTATTCCGTACTTCTGGCCATCCCTGTATTTAGCAACTACAAATTGTAAACTTATTTGAAATATTTTCATGTCGTTTCTTACATGACCAAAGGTTCACTTTTTTAACTCATGATAAAAATGAAATAAATATCTAAGTAAACGAACACTATATTTTAAATTATTGCCAACGTTTCTGTGTTATTTAAACCATCCTCAGGGCTATAAAATACAAACAATGTTTAGAGCCCTGTGATCATTATCCCACCACAACCTTGAGTTGGATAGCTAATCAAGATCGCTAAACAGTGAAAACGTAATACCTTTTATTACTACTTCATCCTAGAACTACTTATTTCACAAAAAAATATAGAATTCGTTTCCTAGTTATAAGATTTTAAATGCAATGTTTTAATAAACATGTCGAAAACATCATTGCAGAAAATTTCCATTTCGTTAGAAAAACATGTATAATTTGAGTGGGTTTTTCCGACTTTTCATATTGACTTAAAAATTGTATTTCTACGAAATCATCGGCGTAGAAATTTTGAATTTTAACTTTGTTATATACAAGGTATCCCAACGAAAATTTGACCCCCCTATAATTGGAAAACCGAATAATATTTCAAAATTCGCCGAGACCCGTCGATTTTTGTTCTTGGGGGAGCTTTTTTGACAGTCAAGCCAACTCGATATGTTCATCGCCCTAATGCCTAGCAACCCCAACTTAAAAATTTCAAATGCAACTACCCCACTTGTGGCACATCATTTTAAAGCCCTTTTCATTACGAATACAGTGACGTACCGTTTTTAGAAATCGGTTGAGATTTGACAGAATTATTGGTTACAAACGAAAAGATGACAAACCAACTTACGCGTAGTAATTTCTACACAAATGCCCACCACTAATAAGTTTTTCATCTACTACACATGACCGCATTACCTAATTGTTATTGATGTGTCTATCAGTTTACAAAAAAGTCAGAAATGAAATAAAAAAGCTGAAGCAAATAA